CTTAAATTTTCCTTAATAGGAATAATTTTATTTTAAGGAAATATTGAGGTAAAGAATTGAAAGTATAAGGAAAATAATATATATAAAATCCCTTATATTGNTCATTCAAAAGCAGATATAAGCCAAATAAAATAATTCTGTAACAAAAAAAAAATATGTATACACAGTATGCCAAATAAGTAATGAGACAACTAGCATTACATCCAAACTAAGAACTTTATTTCAATTTTGCAGTTACATGGATTCAAAATAATCCCCTTGCACCGCCACACAACATTTACATTGATCATACAAGTTGTTGAAAGAACACTGGAAGTCCTGATTGTGTACCTCCTTCAGTCTGTTGGTCACAGTATGCTTGATATCCTCAATGTCAAGTAAACTAAACTTCACTTTGACACCGGGGATGAAATACTAAATACGGAACCTGTTACCGGTGTAATTTTGTGTGAAAAAATCCTCTTTTCACAAACGTTTTCGAAAATGTTTGTGAAAAGAGGATTTTTTCATGCAAAATTACACCGGTAACAGGTTCCGTATTTAGTATCCTCAATGCCACTGAAATGTTCCCCTTTTAAAGCACATTTAATTTTCAGAAATAGAAAAAAGTCTGCAGGTGCCAAATCAGGCGAATAGGGTGGATGTTCAAGCATACAGGTCTGTTTTGATGCTAAAAACTGTTTCACGGGTAGTGTGCAGTGAGCTGGTACATTGTCATACAGAAGAACCCAACTGTTGTTTTGGAACAGATGCATTCTGACATGAAGCATGTGAGCCAAGAGATGTTCTATGACTCCTAAGTACTGTGTGGTCACTGTTGTGCCCTCAGGGAGAAATTCATGATGGATCATTCCAGAAGCATCAAAAAAAATAATCACCATTGTCTTGATACGTGATTTCTGCAACCTGAGTTTCTTCTCCCTTGGTGACAATGTTCAATGCCATTCCATACTCTTGACGTTTTGTCTCTGGGTCAAACTGAAAACACAACTTTCATCCCCAGTTACAATTCGTTTCACCAGATTAGGATCCTCATCAACTGTGGCGATGAGGATCCTAATCTGGCACAACATGCAGCTCGATGCTCTCTCTGTTCTGTCAATGAATGTACCACAAAATGGGAAAAATCTTTCTCTACAATGGACCTGGCCATTTCCTTACTGACACCAAGTTTCACTGCAAGCATTCTGGTGGTAATTCGTCTATCACTGGCAACAATTTCCTTGGCTTTTTCCACGTTTTCATCCACCCGAGCAGACATAAGACATCAGATGTGTTGTTTATCTTATAAGGATTCTCTTCCATTCTTAAATGCTGAAAACCAGTGGAACACTTGTGCACAACTAAGACAATCATTCTCATAAACAAGTAGCATATCTTTGTAAACTTCTAATGCTGTTTTTCCTAATTTACAGTAAAATTTTATCACAACTCTTTGATCCATGATGTTACATTTGACCGCTGCTACTTGCACAACGTTACTTTCACAGTTGCTGTGTAGGCACTGGCTGAGTCATCGACACGATTGAAGTGTCTGCGTGTTCAGCACAATCTAGCGGGTGAAATGGTAACTACATTTGGCATATTTCTTGAAAGTATTCCTGGAAAAAAAAATCAGTCTCATTACTTATTTGGTGCATTGTGTATATATATATAATATATATACACAGTGCACCAAATGATACAACTAGCATTACATCCAAACTAAGAACTTTATTTTAATTTTGCAGTTACATTGATTCAAAATAATCCCCTTGCACCGCCACACAACATTTACATTGATCATACAAGTTGTTGAAAGAACACTGGAAGTCCTGATTGTGTACCTCCTTCAGTCTGTTGGTCACAGTATGCTTGATATCCTCAATGTCAAGTAAACTAAACTTCACTTTGACACCGGGGATGAAATACTAAATACGGAACCTGTTACCGGTGTAATTTTGTGTGAAAAAATCCTCTTTTCACAAACGTTTTCGAAAATGTTTGTGAAAAGAGGATTTTTTCATGCAAAATTACACCGGTAACAGGTTCCGTATTTAGTATCCTCAATGCCACTGAAATGTTCCCCTTTTAAAGCACATTTAATTTTCAGAAATAGAAAAAAGTCTGCAGGTGCCAAATCAGGCGAATAGGGTGGATGTTCAAGCATACAGGTCTGTTTTGATGCTAAAAACTGTTTCACGGGTAGTGTGCAGTGAGCTGGTACATTGTCATACAGAAGAACCCAACTGTTGTTTTGGAACAGATGCATTCTGACATGAAGCATGTGAGCCAAGAGATGTTCTATGACTCCTAAGTACTGTTGGTCACTGTTGTGCCCTCAGGGAGAAATTCATGATGGATCATTCCAGAAGCATCAAAAAAAATAATCACCATTGTCTTGATACGTGATTTCTGCAACCTGAGTTTCTTCTCCCTTGGTGACAATGTTCAATGCCATTCCATACTCTTGACGTTTTGTCTCTGGGTCAAACTGAAAACACAACTTTCATCCCCAGTTACAATTCGTTTCACCAGATTAGGATCCTCATCAACTGTGGCGATGAGGATCCTAATCTGGCACAACATGCAGCTCGATGCTCTCTCTGTTCTGTCAATGAATGTACCACAAAATGGGAAAAATCTTTCTCTACAATGGACCTGGCCATTTCCTTACTGACACCAAGTTTCACTGCAAGCATTCTGGTGGTAATTCGTCTATCACTGGCAACAATTTCCTTGGCTTTTTCCACGTTTTCATCCACCCGAGCAGACATAAGACATCAGATGTGTTGTTTATCTTATAAGGATTCTCTTCCATTCTTAAATGCTGAAAACCAGTGGAACACTTGTGCACAACTAAGACAATCATTCTCATAAACAAGTAGCATATCTTTGTAAACTTCTAATGCTGTTTTTCCTAATTTACAGTAAAATTTTATCACAACTCTTTGATCCATGATGTTACATTTGACCGCTGCTACTTGCACAACGTTACTTTCACAGTTGCTGTGTAGGCACTGGCTGAGTCATCGACACGATTGAAGTGTCTGCGTGTTCAGCACAATCTAGCGGGTGAAATGGTAACTACATTTGGCATATTTCTTGAAAGTATTCCTGGAAAAAAAAATCAGTCTCATTACTTATTTGGTGCATTGTGTATATATATAAAATTTAAAAAATTTTTGAAAATATATTATTTGTTAAAAATTATTGATATCATTTTGAATTCTACTAGATGGACCTATATTTTTATCAAAGTTATATTGTATGCACTTGCAAATGGAACTTATTATGGAATGTGGGATGAAATCAGTATAGCTATCAAGATATTTCAAACTCTTGGTTACATTGAGGTAAGAATTAAAACATGTAAAAATGTTTGTATATTAACAGAGGATGTTTTTATTTGAAAGAAAAATATAATTATTAAGCAGTAGAATCCATTTGTTTCAATCATGGATATTATCTTTTAATGTTATCAGAATTAGCATGTCCTAAAAACATATAAGTTAAAACTTGCTTATTAAAAGTTTGCTTATTTTAATCATAAGTTTGATTATACAAGATGTATTAAAACTTACGGTACAAACATTAGGAGATGATAGAACACAACTAGATAAGCACAAATCATACCACAATGCATGCTTTGAACTCAAGCTGTGAAGTGCTAGAGAACATGGTGTTTTTTCACCAATGTATGGCAGTCACTACATCGACAGTGTGAAGCCTATGTCAGTGTTGATGGCTACACTTTTGAGCAATTACTGTAATAAAATGTTGGATAAAACATTTTTCTTAAATTCATCAGTTTCCTTTCATTCCTTCTGTCATTCTTGTTTATCATAATTTCTTGACACACCAAGTACTTCCCTCTAGTGCTTCACTGCTTGAGTTCCAAGCATGCATTGTGGGGTGATTAGATCACAACTAGACAAGCACAATCACTCAGAAGATTTGTACCATGAGTTTTGACACAGCCTGTATATATTACCTTCAGGTAGGTAGGAAATTTTATTTTTGAGGTATTAGCCTCAACTAATGTTATTGCTTAATCATTTTAATTTTCATTTCTTCATAGTACAGTAATTTAAATTACTGGCATTTCTTACTCCAATTATAAATCAGCTGTTGTTAAAGACAGTTTTGCAAAAACCGGTAGACAAACAACACTGGATAAATTACTAGTAATTAATAATAATAAAAATGCATAAACTTGAAAAAATTAATTTATTTTAACATGTCCTTTTAATGTTGATCAATAAAAACAGTTCCATTAATTGCAATTTGATTTACAACTGATTAATGTCATTTAGTAAATTGTTATCAGTATACACAAGTCTCAAAGTGATTACAATATGCAAATTCTATTATATAAAAGCTTCACTTGCATTCTTTTTTTGTAATATGAATAAATATATTTGTTAAAAAAAATTTTAATTTTTATAATAGGTTGTACATTGTATTGTAAAATTAGTACGAAGTTCTCCTTTAATAACTTTTCTGCAAATAACTTCAAGAGTTATGGTAGTTTGGGGAATCATAACATCTGTTCCTGAGGTAAAGCAATTAATATTTAATTTAAAATATTTAATAATAATTTAAAGCTTCTTATAATATATGTATAAATCTTTTAATCAAGTTTTTTTATATATTTAATCCTGTTATTTATAACTTTTGCATTTAAATTATTGAATATTTTTATGTAATTTAATTTGAAACATGATATATTACGATAGTGTGATTTAAATTTTCTTTTTTGTTAATAATTTTTGTTAGTAATAATAATATTTAAGTTTCATTGTAAAGAAAAATTATAACTTTTAGCAGTGTAAAAACTGAAGTAATTATAATTATTACATTAGTGCTTATATTTTCAATAATTTATAGCTGTGATAATTTAACAAATTTTAATAATTAATATATAACAAGATTCATATTTTAGTTATATCATATATTTACTTAGACAAATAAATCTTTAATATATGANTTTTGTCTCTGGGTCAAACTGAAAACACAACTTTCATCCCCAGTTACAATTCGTTTCACCAGATTAGGATCCTCATCAACTGTGGCGATGAGGATCCTAATCTGGCACAACATGCAGCTCGATGCTCTCTCTGTTCTGTCAATGAATGTATCACAAAATGGGAAAAATCTTTCTCTACAATGGACCTGGCCATTTCCTTACTGACACCAAGTTTCACTGCAAGCATTCTGGTGGTAATTCGTCTATCACTGGCAACAATTTCCTTGGCTTTTTCCACGTTTTCATCCACCCGAGCAGACATAAGACATCAGATGTGTTGTTTATCTTATAAGGATTCTCTTCCATTCTTAAATGCTGAAAACCAGTGGAACACTTGTGCACAACTAAGACAATCATTCTCATAAACAAGTAGCATATCTTTGTAAACTTCTAATGCTGTTTTTCCTAATTTACAGTAAAATTTTATCACAACTCTTTGATCCATGATGTTACATTTGACCGCTGCTACTTGCACAACGTTACTTTCACAGTTGCTGTGTAGGCACTGGCTGAGTCATCGACACGATTGAAGTGTCTGCGTGTTCAGCACAATCTAGCGGGTGAAATGGTAACTACATTTGGCATATTTCTTGAAAGTATTCCTGGAAAAAAAAATCAGTCTCATTACTTATTTGGTGCATTGTGTATATATATAAAATTTAAAAAATTTTTGAAAATATATTATTTGTTAAAAATTATTGATATCATTTTGAATTCTACTAGATGGACCTATATTTTTATCAAAGTTATATTGTATGCACTTGCAAATGGAACTTATTATGGAATGTGGGATGAAATCAGTATAGCTATCAAGATATTTCAAACTCTTGGTTACATTGAGGTAAGAATTAAAACATGTAAAAATGTTTGTATATTAACAGAGGATGTTTTTATTTGAAAGAAAAATATAATTATTAAGCAGTAGAATCCATTTGTTTCAATCATGGATATTATCTTTTAATGTTATCAGAATTAGCATGTCCTAAAAACATATAAGTTAAAACTTGCTTATTAAAAGTTTGCTTATTTTAATCATAAGTTTGATTATACAAGATGTATTAAAACTTACGGTACAAACATTAGGAGATGATAGAACACAACTAGATAAGCACAAATCATACCACAATGCATGCTTTGAACTCAAGCTGTGAAGTGCTAGAGAACATGGTGTTTTTTCACCAATGTATGGCAGTCACTACATCGACAGTGTGAAGCCTATGTCAGTGTTGATGGCTACACTTTTGAGCAATTACTGTAATAAAATGTTGGATAAAACATTTTTCTTAAATTCATCAGTTTCCTTTCATTCCTTCTGTCATTCTTGTTTATCATAATTTCTTGACACACCAAGTACTTCCCTCTAGTGCTTCACTGCTTGAGTTCCAAGCATGCATTGTGGGGTGATTAGATCACAACTAGACAAGCACAATCACTCAGAAGATTTGTACCATGAGTTTTGACACAGCCTGTATATATTACCTTCAGGTAGGTAGGAAATTTTATTTTTGAGGTATTAGCCTCAACTAATGTTATTGCTTAATCATTTTAATTTTCATTTCTTCATAGTACAGTAATTTAAATTACTGGCATTTCTTACTCCAATTATAAATCAGCTGTTGTTAAAGACAGTTTTGCAAAAACCGGTAGACAAACAACACTGGATAAATTACTAGTAATTAATAATAATAAAAATGCATAAACTTGAAAAAATTAATTTATTTTAACATGTCCTTTTAATGTTGATCAATAAAAACAGTTCCATTAATTGCAATTTGATTTACAACTGATTGATTAATGTCATTTAGTAAATTGTTATCAGTATACACAAGTCTCAAAGTGATTACAATATGCAAATTCTATTATATAAAAGCTTCACTTGCATTCTTTTTTTGTAATATGAATAAATATATTTGTTAAAAAAAATTTTAATTTTTCAATGTTTTTATAATTTAATTTAATTTTATTAATTTAGGTTGCAAATACAATTGGTGTTCCTCTATTACTGGTAGCTTGGTGTATGGCTGAAATAATACGATATTCATTGNTTGTAATAGGTTGTACATTGTATTGTAAAATTAGTACGAAGTTCTCCTTTAATAACTTTTCTGCAAATAACTTCAAGAGTTATGGTAGTTTGGGGAATCATAACATCTGTTCCTGAGGTAAAGCAATTAATATTTAATTTAAAATATTTAATAATAATTTAAAGCTTCTTATAATATATGTATAAATCTTTTAATCAAGTTTTTTTATATATTTAATCCTGTTATTTATAACTTTTGCATTTAAATTATTGAATATTTTTATGTAATTTAATTTGAAACATGATATATTACGATAGTGTGATTTAAATTTTCTTTTTTGTTAATAATTTTTGTTAGTAATAATAATATTTAAGTTTCATTGTAAAGAAAAATTATAACTTTTAGCAGTGTAAAAACTGAAGTAATTATAATTATTACATTAGTGCTTATATTTTCAATAATTTATAGCTGTGATAATTTAACAAATTTTAATAATTAATATATAACAAGATTCATATTTTAGTTATATCATATATTTACTTAGACAAATAAATCTTTAATATATGAAATAAAATTAATTTGATCCAATTGGAAAATTAACTCATTTTTCAGAAATATGTCAGATATTTTAAGCTATAAAACATACTTTTATAATCTGATAAGGTTCTCAATTCTGGAAACAATTTTAACTATTTCAAGTATTTATTAATTAAACAATTTATTGAAAGAGGTATAATGTTTATATAGTATTTAACTCTTTAAGCTCTGAAATTTTTTTTCTTCTATTTACCTGGAGATGAAATTGTTTATATCTCTCAGGCTACTAAGGAAATTCATACAGCAAACTGTAAGTTAGACACAGTATATACTAGTCAAACCACTTTGTCTTCAGCTGATTTCATCTGGAACTAATTGGATTAAGCCAATTTTGTGTTTAAAGAGTTAAGATGTAAATTTATTATTTATGAACAAAAATTAAATGTCCAATCAAGAAAGAAAGCAAAACTCGGTTATTTTTGAACACAGGAAATTTTTATTTTTATTCAAAATAAATTGAATATTCTATGTAATATACAGTACAATACTCTTTATTGCATACATAACAAAAAACCAATGGTTTTTCTTGTTATATACAATTATTTTCAAGGCTTCTACATAAAGGAAAAACTGCAACAAATAAGCCAAAGGCATATTTTTTTGTTTTTTATATAAATATTTTAATCAGAAATGAATTAAATGATTATATGATTAAGCCAAACATTACATCTGTATAGGCATTTTATTAGTATTAATTAAAACAATATATTACAGTATGGAATGAAATTATAATATCTTTAACACATTGAAACTATTGAAAAAATTTTCATATTTTTTCAATCTGCTGGGCCTTTTTATATATACAGTACAGGTATACCTCGCCTTACATCAGTAATTGGTTCCAGGAGAACGTCTTAAGTCGAAAAACGACGTAAGTCGAATTTACTTGTCTTCAAATCTACTTGTCACTAGGCTAAACCATAAATTGCCAATTCTGGTTCTGTATTTTATTTATTAATGCATTTTTAATAATGTATGGTTAATAAGGATTTATTTTAAGTTGTTTCTTTGCAGACACACTAAGGCAACATTTTTCAACACTTGGCAAATTATTCACCATTTATTCAGTTGGGACGCTTTTTACATTTCGCGTTTCGGGCATTGGCCCCTCTTCAGCCAATTAAACGTAAAAAATAAAACATGAGAAAAAAGTACAAAAATATGCGAGTAAAACATAACGTAGATAAAACGTTTTTTTAAAAAAGTTCTTAAAAAACGTACCATAAAGCACAAATCACGAGCATACAGATGTCGTACAGGATGGACAGTTTCATATTCTATACAATATCAATTGGAGAACAAACAGGGTCAAGGATCGGCCCTGGGTCAAACAGGGTCGAAACAGCATAATAACAACAACACGGTTTCATCAGAATCAAAAAAAAAAATCTATTTTAAGCTTACAAACAAATAAATTTTAGTTTTTAATATAGTACAGAAAAAAGTAATCTAAATTTACGAATGCATGTACTGTAAATACAGTACATACTTGTATATATTTTAATATGATTTTATGTGCTTTAAATGCTTTTCTAGTGATATTACGACTTCAATATTTGTGGCGGACAGACGTAAGTCGAATAAAATGACTTAAACTTGATTTTTATTTTTCCATATACTTTTTTGACGAACGACGTATAATCAGGAATGACGCAACTCGAAACGACGTAAGTCGAGGTATACCTGTATATAGATTTAAATGTATGTTCATATCAGAAAATCAGAATTTGCTCATATACTGTGCCTAACTTACAGGTTGATAAAAGTTTGTTTTGCATTATTTTTTAATTAAACTATATTTACAGAAATGCTCTGTGAAGTATTACTGGTAGTCCACAGAGCATATTGTGTAATTTGTTGTTGAGGTACAAACCTTGTACTTTGAAGCACCAGAGAAAAGTTTTAGCAATTCATTTTTTTTTCATATTTCGAAACCGTGTTGTATCTTTATATTAGTTTTTCAAAACCGCAATGCAGCTAATCAACACTTGGCATAACCCATTCATGGTTATGCCAAATGTTGATTATTACACTGCATTGCAGTTTTGAAAAACTTTAGCAATTCATGTTAAATGTGCAGGGAGAAACAGAAAATGTCTCATCAAGCAAAAAAAATCTTATTTTTGTGACTCATACACTTGACTCTTGACTTCTATGTAGTTTCAAGAATTATTAATAATAATAGGAATTATTTAAGAAATATATCTAAAACAGACTAGGAAAAAATTATAAGACGTTCAATTATTATTATTATCATGGTGTTGCTGGAGTGTTTCCTACATGCTATATGTATCAGTGCCTAGCAGAGGGCTGGACCAAGGTCAAGGCATAACTGTAGAACAGGTTATGTGTACATGCTGTTTGTATATATATATAAACAATGTGTGTTTGAATGTTAACAGCACTCACTATGTCGGGTCTGACACCACCTGTGACTTCTGGCTCACAGGAAGCTTTCAATAAATGTATGAGCAGCTGTGTGGGGGAACTGATGGGTAAGGGGTGGAAGAAGTTGAGAGACAGAGAACCCAGAAGTAATGCATTCTAAACTGGTTAAAATGATTAATACTGTACAATTATAACAAAATGCTCAGATATAACATATTATATTTATTGGAAATTTTATAAAGTAATTTTTCAAAAATCATTTCTGATTTTTTTCAATAAAAGTGATAAGCTTTCTTTTTAACATTAAATTAAAAGGACTAATAATTATTTTAAAATAAGTTTTTAATAAAATTTTAATTTTTCAATGTTTTTATAATTTAATTTAATTTTATTAATTTAGGTTGCAAATACAATTGGTGTTCCTCTATTACTGGTAGCTTGGTGTATGGCTGAAATAATACGATATTCATATTATGCGACCACTATTTTAAATTGTTGTCCATACATTTTAATTTGGTGTCGGTAAGTTATTTTTAAACTTATTGCTATTAAAATAGCCTCAGTTTCACATAAAAATAACAATTTCAAAAGTTAAATAAGATGGTGATGATCAATTATTTTAAAATCCAATAAATCCAGTTAGATCCAAACCAGCCACAGTTTTCCAGCAGACAGTTTATTCAGTGAATAAACATTTTTGGATTATCTTATAGCTATGTCTCTACTTATCAAAATTATTTTGGAGAGGTAGTATTTTTGATATTTTAAGTAAATTTATTTAACAAAAATTAAAGTAATATTAATATTTTAAAAGAAATTCATTAGAAATCAAGTAGATAAAACAATTAGATCCTTAAAATTTACTAAGAAAAACTATCTCAAATTATTTTATTTAAATTTTTAGTAATTTTTCTCCTGTCCACAGAACAAAAGGGAATGCATGCTGAGGCTGCATTTGACATGCTTGAAAACTCTAACAATTACATCAATTTTCTGAAAAGGGCCATAACTGGAGATGGGTATACAGTTATGACCCTGCAACAAAAGCTGTCTTTGCAATAAAAATTACCCTATCTCCATGTCCAAAAAATGCCTAGCAAAGTCAGAGCAATATCAAGGCCATGTTGACTATCGTCTTCAATTACAGTAGTGTTGTCCACCACAAGTATGCATTTCCAGGCAGACTGAGAGATGCAGCAAGAAGAAACTGCAGGATCTGTAGGCAAGTGGTGAATGGCAGCTTCATCACCACATTATTTCTGTTTATTCTTCATATCTCATGCAGTTTTTTTTTTTTTTTTTTNCAAATCAGGCGAATAGGGTGGATGTTCAAGCATACAGGTCTGTTTTGATGCTAAAAACTGTTTCACGGGTAGTGTGCAGTGAGCTGGTACATTGTCATACAGAAGAACCCAACTGTTGTTTTGGAACAGATGCATTCTGACATGAAGCATGTGAGCCAAGAGATGTTCTATGACTCCTAAGTACTGTGTGGTCACTGTTGTGCCCTCAGGGAGAAATTCATGATGGATCATTCCAGAAGCATCAAAAAAAATAATCACCATTGTCTTGATACGTGATTTCTGCAACCTGAGTTTCTTCTCCCTTGGTGACAATGTTCAATGCCATTCCATACTCTTGACGTTTTGTCTCTGGGTCAAACTGAAAACACAACTTTCATCCCCAGTTACAATTCGTTTCACCAGATTAGGATCCTCATCAACTGTGGCGATGAGGATCCTAATCTGGCACAACATGCAGCTCGATGCTCTCTCTGTTCTGTCAATGAATGTACCACAAAATGGGAAAAATCTTTCTCTACAATGGACCTGGCCATTTCCTTACTGACACCAAGTTTCACTGCAAGCATTCTGGTGGTAATTCGTCTATCACTGGCAACAATTTCCTTGGCTTTTTCCACGTTTTCATCCACCCGAGCAGACATAAGACATCAGATGTGTTGTTTATCTTATAAGGATTCTCTTCCATTCTTAAATGCTGAAAACCAGTGGAACACTTGTGCACAACTAAGACAATCATTCTCATAAACAAGTAGCATATCTTTGTAAACTTCTAATGCTGTTTTTCCTAATTTACAGTAAAATTTTATCACAACTCTTTGATCCATGATGTTACATTTGACCGCTGCTACTTGCACAACGTTACTTTCACAGTTGCTGTGTAGGCACTGGCTGAGTCATCGACACGATTGAAGTGTCTGCGTGTTCAGCACAATCTAGCGGGTGAAATGGTAACTACATTTGGCATATTTCTTGAAAGTATTCCTGGAAAAAAAAATCAGTCTCATTACTTATTTGGCACACTGTGTATTACGTCAATTCTTTTTAATGTTATATATTTAAAATTAATAATAATAGTAGTAGTAATATAGCCCAATATAATTCGGCAATCATTTGGCTTTAATATATAACTATCGGGTTTGGATGTTTATATTTGTAAAAATTTATAATATAGAATAAAAAAGTTAATACAGAAGGTTCTCAGTTTTTGGACCATGTTCCTGAAAATATGTATGAGAGTCAAATGTCTGAAAGTCAAACAATAATATTGCATGTTATGAAGGGTTATAACAGTTCCTTGATAAAACAGTAGAAAGTAAATTGTGCATGAACAAGGAGAAGCATTGCACAGTTAAGTTAGGACTGTGTTTTGAATATCTTCCCAGAGAGCTACAAAGAAAAACTATATAAAATCTTATTAATAGAAAACTTTTTAGGTAGTTAGAAAGTTATATTATAAAACATTATTTACAATAGTTTTAAAAAGTAGCTATTGTGCAGGTGGTGTATCTCAAAATCTTTATTTGATGTCTAAAAAATACATAAGTACATATTTGGGATATAAAAAGTGAATTTTAAGGTATCAAATTATTGTATATGACATGAGCAAATTCTGCAAAAACGAAATGTTCAAAAGTTGAGGATTAAAATTACTATAATTCATGAAAACAAATTCCATTTTAAACTTATATATGTATGAATTATTTGCTTAGATATTATAAAACTACAAAACTTAAAACTTGACTAAAATAGTGTCAACTGTATTAATGGCTTTGTAATTTAGGTCTTGAAAAATCTACAGATCATAGTATCTACTGATTTGTGAGTACCATAATTTTGTGCAGCTAACTGCAGAAAATTGCTAGAACAAAAATAAAATCTTTATATAACCTGCACCTCTAGAGTAGTTGTTGAAAGCATGATGATATTGGTATGCAATTTAGAAAATACCACTTCAAACATTAAAATGTTTTTTCTGTTTCACTTCTATTAGAATTCATTGTAGATATATGTAAACAACCAAGCCTAAATAATTTATAACTAACTGTACCTGGCCACATGTTGCTGTGGCTCAGAATGTATCTATTATAAATGTAAAACACTCCCCATGGGAGGGAATTTCAAAAATCCCTTCTTAGTGTACATTCTCTTGATGTACCCTATTAAAACGCAATCAAAAATGCAAAAAACCACATATAAAGTAGTATAATAGAAGCCAAGTTCTTCATGGTAAGCCTTAATATTATTCCTCTCCCATGGGGGATTTTGACATCTATATAACATAAAAACATGCACGTATTCGAATGCAACTTTGTGTCAAAATTTCAAAGCAATTGTTTAAGAACTTTCGGAGATTTAAGATTTTGAACAACTGAACATTTACATTTTTATTTATATACAGTAGAACCCATCTAGTCCGCCCTCGGCTAGTCCGTTACTCCAGTTAATCCGACTGTGGTCGGAGTCGAGAAACTTGTCTCGACATGTCGGTGACTCACCGTTCATGGCGTTTTTCTGTGTTCGTTACAGTATATGTTTTACATTGTGTGTACGTGCACAGTTTTGTGTGTATTTACTGTTCTGTACAAATAAATGTGCACAGTACATGCACATTTATTTGTATATTTATCATAAAATTCACAGAATAGTGTATTCATTTTTTTTTTTTTTTTTTTTTTATTTACTAAGAAAATATATAATTTAATTTGAAAGCATTAAGATTTTATATTTAAAAAATATTCATTACTAATAGATGTCATTTACTAAAGTTTATTCAACATGTCAGGAATGAAACGTAAACATGTTACTCTTTCATTAAATGAAAAATTAGCAGTGCTACAAAGACTGGACAAAGGGGAAGATTGTTTATTTTACTTTTTTCTGATAATCCGACCTTTTTTGCGTTCCGACCATACCCCCAGTCCCAAAGGTGACGGATTAGAGGGGTTCTACTGTAGATAAGTCAATCAAATTAAATGCTAGATTATTCAGGATATATGTTTTGTATATCAAACTAAAAAGATAATTGTTTCTGAAGGCTTTTATATCCTCAAATGGCTGAAAAGTAAGAGATTCACAAAAATTAATCTGAAAACAAATTGCACTTTTACAATGAAATACATAGTGAATTATTATTATTTCTATGCATAATAACTTTAAGACCAAAACTGCATAATACTTGTTAAGATCAATTATTGGTTAATATCAACCCTTAGACATTCCCACAGAGTCACACGTAGAATCTATTGTTGNCTTATCAGTATTCAAAGTCAGATCCCTCAGAATGGCAGACTGACATATTTAATATTTCAAACATCAGTAACTAACTTTATGTATAACATGAAAAACCCATTCTCATTTATATTCATTCCTATTGATTTCCAAAATAGGATTTATATTATGGTGAACATATAAAATAAAACATCTTACATTCATTTCAATAAGCAAATGAACTTTTCAGTGTATGAAAATATGCTTGTAGATTAAAAAGATGGCTACATGTCTGTGCTCAAGTATTGTTTTCAGATCACTAATAAAATTTCATTTTATTATTAAATACTAAAACAACTAATAATTGTATTGTGACTATCTACAATAAAATCATATGTGAGATGAATATAACAGAAATTTTTACACTGTATATTACTTTAAGTATATATTAAAGTTCACTATCACTGTTATATATATTTATATTTACAGTTGTTACAACTAACAATTAATTTAAACTAGTTTTTTCAATAGAGGCAAAAATATATTTCTTTGGGAGTGAAAATTAATGTCAGGACCTCATACCAGACAGGAGAGAGAATATAAGTAAGACTATCAGATAAAAGATAAACATATATTGTTGTATATATATAATAAAAAGGTAAGTAAATTTTAAATATCATGTACAAGTGAGTATGAAATATGATGTTATTTTTTAAATTTTGTTAAAAATTACTGAGAAATAATAATACTCCTTAACTGATACATAGTCATTTAGGAAGCAATTTTTAAGGAAATGTTAAGAAAAGCTGATATAAGCATACATTGATAATTATGAAATAAATACAAAACAATTATGAGAGCCGAACTTGGTGAAATGGTTTGAACTTTGAAACTCTCCCTTGTATGTATTCTGAACCAATTATGTTGTGTACAAAAATGAACGTTTTTGAACTCCTTCTGAGTCCTAAGTCAGGTTTTTTAACAATTCCTTGATGGTTTTTCGTTTTACAATAAAATTCAAACTCTATATTCAAAATTATTACAACCACATGGTTGTAATAATTTTTGAACTTATATTTGAACTCTTGTTCGAATTTTATTCCAAAACGAAAAACATGAAGGAATCATTAAAAAACCTGATGAAGGACTCATGAGTTTGAAAACATTCGTTTTTGTTTGTTTTTGTCATCTACACATCATAATTGATTCAGAATATGTCAGTTTTTAATTCATTCTTATACAAGTAATTTTGATTTTGTTGAATGAAATGAGGGAGAATATTTAATCCAGAAAAGATAATATATCAAATTTTAAAAATGGAAAATAAGAATTTTTCCTTTTTAAATTCAAATTTCTGAATTTGGAAAGGTAAAATGTAAAAATTTAAATCAGCTATAGTTCATATATCAATGATGAAGCTAGATGAATAAATTTAAAAATTTTTGAGCTATTCTAAATGTTTAATGGAATTAGGAGTTGAAAAAAAATAATCATATAAAATTAGAAAATTTACTTATTTATGAAACCAATAAAATGCTTTGTGGTTGACTATACCTATAACACTATACTTATGGAACTCAAAATCATGTATGAACAGTGTTTATACATAATTTTGATTTCTATAAGTGTAGTGTTACAGTGTAGTCTAACCACAAAATACCATATGACAATTAATTTATAATTAGCAATTATGGCATTCATGGAAATTGCTTCCATTCATGCCATATTTTAGTGACTAATGTATGTAAGGAACTTTCTTACATATTCAAATCTCTATTCAAAAAATTTATTTTAGACATAATATATATTAATATTATGAATATTTACAATAAAAATCAAATTTATATATTCCTTGTTTTGTTTTCTAGGTTTTCCACATTTATATATGTATATGATCAGTCAGAGATCAAAGGTATTAAAAGGAGCAAAGAAACATTAATATTTTGAAAAGAAGCTAAAATTTTGTCTTTATAAAATTAGTATCTCATGCAAAGTACTTTTATTAAATAAATACTTTTATTTTACTTTCTACATCTCTGTTTGTATTATTTTTTCAGGTTAATGTTTATTATTATTGTTGAATTTTAAAAATATGACTGATTTAAAATTAAGAAATATAAACTAATTTTATAATAAACACATTTCTAAATTTATTTTTCATTCATTTTGTTCAAAGATATGTATAATAAACTGTAGCATAATTAATTAATGCTTAAAAAGTTAATCTGAAAATTGATAAATTATCAATACTACTGTTTTGATTTTCATCTTTTTATGTATTTATTCCTATGTTTGTGAAATATAAACATGAAACTAATTCTTCATTCACTACATTTAATGTGTGTAGTTTTTATAATATCAATGTTATGTTATCTGTAAGTAAAGATGCAGAGTCTCCATTTTATTTCTCTTCCACCTTATGATAAACTACAATTTCAAAATCATTTATTCTCAAAATTAATAATGGATCATATGTAGTAATATATTAATATAACAATTGTTTTAAATGGTACATTTCATTATAAAAATAATAATAATAATTGTAATTTTCCAATAGTACTTATGTACAGTACATGTAGAAAAATAATTAAAATAATAATTTTATTTTTCTTTTATATTAATAAAGTTAAGAAAAATTTACAAAATATATTATTTTCTTCTCCAACCTAGAATCAGCTTTTTTACAGATTCTATTATGATCCAGGGTTCTTTGAAAGTAATATCATGATCAGCATCAGCAATTGAAATATGATTGCATCCATTATGAAGATTTCCAATTAAATGATGCTGAGATTTTTCCCAAGCCTAAAAATAGATTAGCAAGATTAAATTAAAAATTCTATAAACTTTATATTTGTTGACTCAGTATTCTAATTATTCAAAAAAAATTCAAACACAGTTTTAACAGTTACATTCTGCAGTCAACTGATTAACTCAATACTACAAATATTATATGAGATCAGTGTCAAACAATTGTGTAAGCTATCCAATTTCATATCATTTTCAGATATAATAGACTTCTGTATAACTCTTGTTTAGATATTGTTTGTCATTTGAAATTCAAATGCATAAATCATGTTAGTTTAATACGGTCTTACTAATAAATTAAAATTTACAGATCTGGAAAGTTTTTTAAATAATAGCAAGAAATATTTTTACTCTTATTTGGGATCTAAAAGCAAACTGAGTAAATAGAAAACTCTTGCAAACAGAGATCAAGAGAGAATTAAAGAACAATTTTAATCCTTCATGCTTAGGAATTACTTCCAGCCAAAATTTTGCTATGTTTACAGATAAAATGAAACAGAACAAATTGAAAATATCCATAACACTAACAAACCTACATTTTATCTGCAAAGCTAATACTTCAGTTAGCTATTGCAGATGTTCAGCTAAACAATGCAGTGAGTTATCACAGGCATCCAAAGATTGATACTTCTATTTTAATTTCCTGTTATGATAAATAATATGACTAAATAAATATTTCAAATTATGTAATATATTTTATAAAGTTAGGAGGCCACCATCTTAAATTTAATGATTAGAAAGATATAAATTAGAATATTCTGGAAGAAAAGATTGATCCAGAATAGGACTCAAACCTAAAACTGTTTATTATGCAGATGCAGAGTCAATTATGCTACCTGGTCCTCCATCTGATCTTTTCTTCCAGATCAATTAATTTAGAAGAGATGGCGTGGTGAGTGACTTATTTGGCTAACTGGAGAAAATTATACATCCATGGCGCCATTGGCACTCAGCTGACTTAATCCAATATATTATACAGGATGCAGCAGATTGACTTGTTTTTAAATATGGCTGTCACTGAAGTCATAAGGAAAGAGAGAATGACAGGCTGTTAACAGCCATTTAGTAACAATTGAAATAAATGTAAAATAATAAAAATGTCTGTGTAACTCTCGAGGATTCTCATAAGCAACCTTTACAGTGTTAAGATTATTGCTTGCAATATGGCATCTTTCAGTCCTTATTTCATTGAAGATGAAGAAGGTGGAACTGTGACAGTAAATTCAGCTTGCTACATCAAATTGTTTCACAACTTTAACTGACACAACTTCACTTCTAGAATCTGTGACTTCAACAGGATGGGGCAACAATTCAAGGACTATGGCAGAGTTGAAGTGGAACATTAGGGAATGATTGGAAGAATGTGTAGAGAACAATGGATGCCACTTCACAGACACAATATTCAAAAGTGGTTGTTTACGATTCCTAAGTGCAGGACAATGATGTCAAAATTACATAGTTTTTAAGTTAAATTAATTTAAAATAATTTACAAGTTATCAGGTTAATATGCTGCACCCTGTATATAATTTGGACAAACTGATATATCTGAAGTATATTGTTATAGAATACTTGCAACAAAGAAAACTTCAATCAAATGCCTAATATAAAAAAAATTATTTCTCACTACTGAAAATAAAATGATCTGAAATAAAATTTTCTCACCCACTGCTTTAGTTACAGAAACCTCATCCTCGTAAGCCCCTCTATTCTGTATTTTGGTCCAGTCTCTGCATATCTCAAGAAGATTAGAAAGTTTGGGCTTACACTTCCAATAAAACCACAAATGAACTTATGTAGAATATTATGCAATGACAAACAGATTTTCTATATTAGAGAAGCCAGGCATTTACCAGACACTGCTGCTACATCAAAACAGTAATACAAAAAATCACTATATAGGGGCCACAACAAGAAAGTTGATTAGCCACATATTGGAACATAAGGGAGACATACATAACAGGCATAGCAGTGAACAACAGGATCATTTTTATCTGGAGGCTTTGATCACTGAGAAATAATGGCCCTGCAATAAACCCACATTGGAGCTTCTAAAGCTATGGGTCATGCTGTATAAATCCTTAACAAGGTAATATATAAAGTAGACCACTACTACTACTACTTTAATCCCTTTTGTATGGTAAATTGTGCAAATCTAGATTCTACATAGGTGGCTATCTATGAGGCATTCAATTCATCATTATATTCAAATTTAAATATTGTAATCATGTTCCGTCTAGAATGAGCCAATGTTAAAAATTTAGTAACAAGATTCAAAAATATTCTTTTGCCATTCACCTGATGAAGATGTTTTTGAAAAGGTCTAAAGTACTTGCGAAAACATTTATTTTTGTCATTAAACATGAATAATGTTGAAGACAGTGTTCTCAGTGTTAATTTATTTCATGAACATTTCAATGTGAAAGAAAAAAAATTCTTCATTTTAATAAAATGATCTGAAAAGAACTAACATATATAACTATGCAGAATTATTTAAAAATTATATAAACTCAACTATATGAATTTTGTGTTATATATCCATTTAACTAGAAAATATCACACACACAGTGACTTTTTCCTCTAAGAATTAAAATTTACATGTAATTTTAAATTTATACAATTGAAGTTAAATTTTCAAGCATTTTTATTAATTATATGTAAGCATTATTTTTGTATTTTATTTATAAAATACAATCACTATTGAATATTACTTACTTTATTCAAATCAGGTTGCAGTGTTTTATCATAAAATTTTCCATTTATAACAGTCACTGATACATTTACTGGAAATGGCTTTAATTTCCATATTGTCCTGAAATAAATTTCCAGAATAAAGACAAATATTAAAATTATAATAATATAATATATTTTATTACATATATTTACATGTCAAAACCAATTTATTTGTTGATTGATTTTCTATTTTATAAATATTAATGAAAAGCATCCAAGAATGAAAAAAAGTCTGTTGTAGAGACTGTTCTCTCTATTGGAAGTATGATATTCAAACACATCAAATTAACAATTTCCTATTTTTCAAAGATTGAAAATGTGATATTTCAAATTACTGTTGTAGGNATTGAATAGCCATTTCCTTAACAGGAAATATATAAAAGAACTACTGTTTTTAAATGAATACTTCATTCATATTCACTAAAACCTTGGTACATTAATATGCTGAAGACTGAAGTAGATGTGTCAAGTATTAACAGTAACAAAAACTTATATCATTGAGAATAAATACAAGATCTGCAAGATATATATATATATATATATATATATAAGTACAGTAGAGCATTGATTATCTGAATGAATTCAATTGGGGATGGGTTGTTCGGATAACTGATTATGTATGAAAAATATATTAACCTATCCCATGTTGAAATTCATTCAAATCCTGGCATGTCCTTAAGTACGCTTTCATGGTCGCACCAGTGCTGCCAGCTAAAACTTGCACACCAACAAAAATAATATTGGAGTAGCCCAAGACATAGCCAAAGATTGCAGTGCCACAGCACTAGCGGAAATTTAAATTTGCCGATTGGAAAGCTTTTGGTTAATTGACATTTCAATAGATTGATATTCGGATAATCGATGCTCTACTGTATAACACACATCACAAAGCCCTATATCTAAATTTAAATACATCTGGAAGCGAAAGATTGCTTGGGATCCAGGTGGTGCAACTGGCAAGTGCACCGCATGGCAAGCAGAGGCTGCGGGTTCAATCCCACCCCCAAGTCAATTTTTTTCTCCTGGATGGTTCTAAATTATTTAATTAGTTAAAAGATGGTGCCTAATGTCTACCTGTAGTAGCAAATTACTTTGTATTAATTATTTAAATTAGTGGAATTATAGCCCAATTATTTAGGCGATTGTTTGGTGATGTTTCTATTTCGTGTTTTATACAAATCTTTATGTATTTATAAATGTACTCAAATCCTTTCTTGCTTTATAAAGTCTTGTTTAAAATTTAATATAATAATTAATTATAACTTACTTCATTTGAGAAAAACTGTAATTCATGAAATAATGTTCATCTAAAGCAGCTCCCAAATGATGTGGATTACACAGGAAATGTTTCTTAAATATTAAAAAAAGATTCATAATAAACTATGCAAAAACCTTTTGAATTAGCAGATCAAAATACTGTACCCAGATACAACTGAGACATACACCTGTGCTCCAGATATATACACAATGTTTTAATCATTTGAAGATGTACAGGTAGACCTAATATACAGCAGTTCCTCTTGGATGTTAGCTTCAGACCATAAGGGTTTTTATTTTGTCTAGAACAGGAGTAATGTATATGCACACTTTTTGCACATTCTGCTCACTTTTAATCATGACCAATTTCTGTATAAAACCTGACACCCACTGTTATTTATGCCTAATGTCTCCCAAAATCCCATGCACTTTAGACTAATGGCTTTTAGGGCATTAATACAAGACCCCATATGCACTATACCAGTTTTGTCCACAAACAACAGGAGATTTGATATTCAAGTCAAGGTAAGCAGAAATCTTGGCTATAAACCTAATATGGTAAAACATTTGTGTAAAAAAATCAATATTTGAATTCTCAGCTCAACTTTTGTATCACTATAGTTCCAAGAATGATGTAAATTACAAGGTTATCACTTACAACATTCACATTCAGACTGCATAGTGGGAAATTACAGGGTACAAATACAAAAATGTTTTACAGAAGAAATCTCAACATCTACAAGATCCTCAGAAACAATAAGGATAGAGTGGATCCTACAAGAATACCAACTCACTGACATCAGAGACAATCAAACATGAGTATATCAGTGCAACAGCAAAATATTGATATTAAGCAGGCTTAAAGAGCATCATTACACCACCCAGAAAAAATTGCCTTCCATGGCTCTGGCATTATATGCTATGTATGATGTATCTATAAGATGGGAGATGTAAAAAAAAATCAAATCATAAGAATGAGACACAGTGTGAAATACAGTGGGTGATCGGTTAACGAACAGATCGGATAACGAACACTTTCGTGAAAGATTTTTATGATCGGACAATGAACACATGTTCGGATAACGAACACTTCACTGAACAAACACAAGAAGAAGCGTGTAAATAACGAATACCAATTGGTCTTCCTTTGTCTCAGGCAACAATTCGCAACAATTCGAAACTCTTCGGAGCGCGGGAGACGTCGACAACGACGTTCTACCCAGTATATACTGATCGAATAGTATTCCCCCGAACTTTGAAACTCTCCCTTGTAATTCCAGCCTTTTATATTTCTGACAGAAACAATTCTTTTACGTTTTCTTCTGAAAATACGGATTTATGCCGATGTCTGCTATTAAAGATCTTTTGAAGAAGTGGGAGGATGTCAGAACAACGGTCTTAAAATAGCATCCAAACCAGGTTGAGGTTAATAGACCTATAGATCTCTACAATTACAATGCTATTAATTACTTCTGAAAAATCATGAAGAAGACAGAAAAGCAATCGACATTGGACAGATTCTTTAACCCCCACAAATGGAAAAACACGACTAATAAAAATGCCCTTGTATATATGTATTTTTATTATTACATGTGAATAAACGTAGTAAGAAAGTATATATATTTTTAATTTTTGGGGGTCTCCAGAACGAATTAATCAAATTCCCATAGAAACCTATGGTAAATCGATAATCGGTTAACGAACAATTCGGATAGCGAACAAAGTCTTGGAACAGATTATGTTCGTTAACCGATCACCCACTGTAATTGGGACTAAGAAGACTGGGAGAATGGTGAACTTCAAGGATGAAGATGGATGTCTGGAACATGGAGATCCTTGTATTGAAATTCCTACAGGAGTCTAAATTAGGAATGTGGGAGATACTAAATTATATTTTATAATCAGCTATGACAACAAATTTTACAATGATAATTTTATTTATATCTGTTATAGAACTGTTTACAATAGAAAAATGTTTTAACCACCACAATGCTGAGAATAAATCATAACATTGAATTTATATTTAAAAAATACTGTCCTAATTATATTTATTCTTTTTCAATATTCTGTTGGTTTAAATATATTCTCTTTTATAAACAGCCTGATGTTGGCCTTTTAAAAAGGGCCAAAAACATTTGTGTTGGTTTATATTAAAGTATTATATTATATTACTTTATATTAAAGTATTTTTTATCTGCTGATTCAAAAGAAGATTTTGTATAGTTTATTATTGGTTTAATCAGATTAGATTTAGAATGTTAAATGATTCATAATCCTATTCCTAGCTTTTTATTATTAAAATACAAAGATTACCTGTCTGATGATAATATCTTCTACAATATGTTCTCCTTTAATAGGAACATCCATAAATCCTAATAATAAACCTATTCTGGAAATTCCAGCAAAAGCAGACAACTGAAGCTTTAATACGGAAGAAATTAAATCTGAATACCTAAAATTAAATAAAATTTCAGTTTACTCTATTGTGTTAACAGTATTGATAGATAGTAGGACAGAGTTTACTGAACTCAGTGAACTCTCCATCCTACTATACAATATTTGGCATGAATATCAATCTATAGTATACTAGTATTGATCGATACATTATATTTTTGTTTATTTTTGTAGATAAATTTTATATTACTAATGTAATCTATTTAAATCTCTTATCCACTACAAAAATACATCAAAATGTATCTAAAAACTATTTATCATAGATTTGAAACAGAATTAAATCATTTCATAATATAAATGCTTTAATATTTAAGCAACTGAGACATCCTACTTCTGCATTATGATAAAAATAGAATGTCTCATTTGCACTTGCAACTGCAATATCCCAGGAGCAATTTTCAAAAAGTTATAAAAAAAATAAAAACTTTAAAATTCTAGATTACAGGCAGTAAGATTTAAAAAATATTCCTCATATCATAGTTTACCCACAATGGAAGTGACCAGTTAACAAAGAAAATTCCAGCAAATTCAGGTCAAACCATGAAAAATTCTTATCAGTATTCAAAGTCAGATCCCTCAGAATGGCAGACTGACATATTTAATATTTCAAACATCAGTAACTAACTTTATGTATAACATGAAAAACCCATTCTCATTTATATTCATTCCTATTGATTTCCAAAATAGGATTTATATTATGGTGAACATATAAAATAAAACATCTTACATTCATTTCAATAAGCAAATGAACTTTTCAGTGTATGAAAATATGCTTGTAGATTAAAAAGATGGCTACATGTCTGTGCTCAAGTATTGTTTTCAGATCACTAATAAAATTTCATTTTATTATTAAATACTAAAACAACTAATAATTGTATTGTGACTATCTACAATAAAATCATATGTGAGATGAATATAACAGAAATTTTTACACTGTATATTACTTTAAGTATATATTAAAGTTCACTATCACTGTTATATATATTTATATTTACAGTTGTTACAACTAACAATTAATTTAAACTAGTTTTTTCAATAGAGGCAAAAATATATTTCTTTGGGAGTGAAAATTAATGTCAGGACCTCATACCAGACAGGAGAGAGAATATAAGTAAGACTATCAGATAAAAGATAAACATATATTGTTGTATATATATAATAAAAAGGTAAGTAAATTTTAAATATCATGTACAAGTGAGTATGAAATATGATGTTATTTTTTAAATTTTGTTAAAAATTACTGAGAAATAATAATACTCCTTAACTGATACATAGTCATTTAGGAAGCAATTTTTAAGGAAATGTTAAGAAAAGCTGATATAAGCATACATTGATAATTATGAAATAAATACAAAACAATTATGAGAGCCGAACTTGGTGAAATGGTTTGTTTAAATTTTTTNTAAACATTTACTTAGTTATAACTTATTTAAATTATTTTAATTTCATTTTTAATAAAATAATAATATTGATATAAAAGCCATTGTCTGTGTGTGTGTGAATTCGTTATAACTCCTGCAATTTTCGTCCAATCCAGATGAAATTTTGGTTATATTCACTTTATGTTCTGATGGAAAGTATAGGCCACTTATTTTGTGGAAACATTCGCTATAAAATAAATGTTTTTACAGATTTTGAATCAGTGATCGCGCTTATGTTGTGGTGACATCAGTGACCATGTCATGTTCATGCTTGACAAGGAAATTTCCCATAGGTTGCTTTTTAAAATATTTCGGCAAATGGCATATTTTAAACTTACTTCATTAAATTTAAAATTTAAACTTTAAAAAAAGATAGCCTCATCATGTCACTTCTATAACAAACTTTTAAAAAATCTTTCCATAGTGACCATGTGGCATTCTATTATCCATAATAGACACACAAAAACCTTTAAGTGACCAGTAAAATATTTAATTGAAAAAACAACAAACATTTTCAACCATATTCTTTGGCCTTCTATTATCCAATTGGATGTAACAATCTAACTACCCCATTATTTAGAAAGTGTTATTGCTCATCTAACTAATGTACAAACAATTTATCTTTGTTTTATCAATGTGGAATTAAGAGATGGCTCTGTCAAGGGCTGCAGAAATAGCATCACAATGCCAGTCATCAAAACAATATTGGGGTATCTATTACTAAAGGAAGACAGCAAGGGAATCTTTTAAAAGCCAATAGTGTTTACTCAGAATGTAGTGTATAAAGTAATTTTATAAAGAAAGATTTTAATATTTTTTTAATATAAAGAGATAAACAATAAAACAACATTTTAAAGAATAATAAAATTGTTTTCCCACGGATTTATTTCCTTCCTGGTTGAAGATGATACATCGAATGTGTCACCCGGAATCTATGAGAAGAAAGAAAACCTTATTGGTCAGTGGTGAAAAAATAATCTTAATAAGGCAGTGGAAAAACCCAATGATGGCCCCCTTTATAAAAAGGAGGGGTTGATGCGTCAAAGACAGTCTCCAGAGTTAAGTGAACTGCAGGATTACGTGCGTGGATTAGCCGCTACCAGTGACTGTTCTAATCACCGCCGTGCGGGAAGACCATTGCCTACAAAACCTCATTCTAAAGAACTGTGTGATCTCTCGAGATCCAAGGACTAAACTTCCAACCCTCACAACTTTTATCAAGGTACTTATCCTCATGCAAAGTAAATGTAAACTCTCTCTCTCATTCGGACTTGTTATCGGGAAACTAATAGCTACATTAATTGTAATCCAACATGAACTGTATATAGCTAAAATAATAATAAATGGGTATTATGTATATACAAAAAATCTGTAGAGTGCAATTCCTCTGATTCTCTCCTTCCGCCTCCATCCCGGAACCAAAAGTCCGCACACGCAACCGTTTGCGTAAAGAAAATTAACAGCCAATATTCTTTTCCTGTGTCTGTTCACAAGACACAGTGGTATCATCCTGACAGGGCGCTAAAGAGGTGCCAACCCTGCGGTCACACAATGGACATTCTTGATTTACTACAAAGGACATTTTCAGATGTAATATTCTATTAAAAAAATATATGTTCAGTGACAAATAAGCTGTAAAAAGTCTTTTAGTAGTAACAATTGTAAATTACATTATATTAAAATTTGTATGATCTTACTTGGAAATAGCTCCTAAAGACTATTTTATCTGTACAATGATTTTATTTTCTCCCATGTAGATATACTATAAATTCTTCTTTTCTTATGTTTTTAGTTAATAAAAATATATACTCACCTATTGCTCTTTTTATGCAATTTTGAAATAACACAGTTGACAAGAGAAAACTAATCTTTAAACACAATCAATTTTTTTACATGGAAAAAACAGTTTATTTGAATATTTTTAAATTTAACTTTTTGTTAAAATTGTGTTACTGTTTAAAAAATGTTACTCTTTTTGTTGAAAGATTGGTTTTAAAATTACAAGTTTCTAAATCAACAGTTTATTTATATTTTTTAAGCACAGTACAGTATTATTTGCATATCAGCAAATACAGTATGTTTCCTATGCTACCTTATGTTTACATACAAATAATGTTAATGATAAATGTTAGAATAAAAAAACTCATGTTTCTTTTGTAAATTGCTTATTTTTTGTTCCATTGAAGTTGAGTATATAGGCCTACATCCTATAGAAAAATGCTTGATATGAAATTTTCTACAGGATATTTGTACTGTACTTTTTTACATGAATTCTTTGGAATGTATTCACCATGCAAAAAAGGGATAGGTGTAAAAGTATTTTATATATGTTATGTCAGACTTTTTCATTCATTTATTAAAAATCCTTCCACAAATTCCTTTGTTAAGCTACAACATATAATGCAATTGCCTGATAGACTGTTTTAGAATGTTAATTTTGAAACTGCTTTATAACTTTTATAATTTAAAAAGTTTGGTCCTGAAAAAGACAAAAAATTGCTCAAAGCAGTTGTTTTTCATACAATATCAGCAGTTCTTAACCTTCTTAGTGGTCAGCAGTTCTTAACCTTCTTAGTGGTCAGCACCCCCTTGAATCTGAAAATAAGCTCTTGCACTCCCTTAAAAAATGTGTGTATATTTTTTTATTTAAGAAAAAACATTTATTGTATAAACAAATGCCGTGTTTGTTTACAATATATATTACTATATAACAAAAAGCAATATTTAAATTTTAATGGCTAGGTTGTTGTTGTTTATTAATAATTCTATTAAAATGAGGCTCTTTTTTTGAAAGAGCCACACATAAGTCATCAGATGCATTTAAGCAATTTCTGCCTTTTGTTTTGATGTGCAAAAGTGCTGAAAATCCCATTTCACACAGGTAGGTGGCGGCAAATGGTAAAAGTGTCTCTAGTGCTGCTTTTGCCAGTTGTAAATAAGCTTCTAACTGTTTACACCAGAACTGTTCTAAGTCTAGTTTTTCAAATTCATATTAGTTTGTATTTCGATAAGATCTTCTTTTAACAAATCGTTGTTGTCCATTGAATTTAGATCAAACAAAAATGGACTGAGTATCCATCTATTAATTTTGCTAATATTTCCCGTGGAAAAGTATCCATCAAATGATTCACTCAATTGCTGGAGGTGTATTATAATTTCTGGTATAATTATTATTTTTTCATTTACCAAAACGACTGAATCCAGCAAAGGAAAGTTTGCTAAATTCCCATGTTCAACTCAATGTCTCCAATGTTTTAATTTTTCAATAAATGAAGCTAACTTTCCACTAGCTGTTATTATGTTTTTGCTAAATCCTTGCATTGAAGTGTTTACTTCATTCATGTGGCTAAATATATCTGCTAGGTAGGCTAGCTGAAGCAATGCGTCTCTATTTCCAAAAGCTTCCACTAAATCACTATTTTGGTTAATAAGAAACTGTATAATTTCTTTGTGCAATTCAAAAATCCTGGTCAGCATGTGGCCCTTGGAGAGCCACCATATTTCTGTATGATAAAGAAGCACAGTATGAACAACACCGATTTCTTCGTACAAAGCATAAAAAATACGATGATTAAGTGCTTGTCCTCGGATGTACTTAACTACATTCACTGCTGTAGTTAGATATTGTTTCAAATTCTCTGACAAAGTTTTCGATGCAAGTGCATGACAATGCAACATGCAGTGCATTATTGTAACTTGCGGTATTTCTCTCTTCATATATGAAATAAATCCAGAATTTTTACTCAACATTGCAGGGACACCATCAGTGCAAATTGAGCCTATAATACTCGTGGGTATTTGGTGTTTTTTAAAAAAAATTTTAATGTGATTAAAAACATCAATGCCTTTTGTCGTCAAATCAAGCAGTTCACAAAATAGAAAATCTTCTAATATTTCATTTTCTTTAATGCAATTATCAACATCAGTTGACTCGTCCAGTTGGATGCTTATTTTTAGAGGGCTGGCTTTGATATCTTCTGCTATTTGCAGTAAAATATCAGCACTGAGATCTTCAATGCGCGATCAAATCACGTCATTTGATAACAGAATTTGTTGAATTTTCTTTTGTGCTTATAAGAACCAAACAAATTTTTTGCAATTTCAAGTGCATATGGTTTTACTAGTTCTTCAGCTATTGTATATCTCTTTTTTTTCTTAGCACACAGATATGCTACTTGATAAGAAGCTTCTAGCAAAAACTTTTAAACTGCTGCAATGTTAAATTTTGTAATAGTACCGCTGGCATCAAATTGTGCTTTCTTAGATTTCAAGATGTTAAGACTATATCCTGCAGATTCACCACCATGCTGACTATTGAAATGTTTAGGCTTACCAGACGTCCCGTTTTGATGATGTTGTCCTAGCGTCCCGCCCAGTTTGTCATTTTGTCCCAGTTATTTGGTAAAACTTTAAAAGTGCCGAATATACAAAAATAAAAGTAGTGCAGCCTCGAGTGAAATGGCGATTTGGCACTTACCCCTCTGTAACACTCACTGTTGCCAATCTAAATATTTCCTATCTAGATCTAAGTACTTTTAATGTTGTCTATATGTTTTCCTCAAAAATTTATAGCATATGGCCTAATGAATTTAGATGTTTTATTTTGTCATTCGGATATTTTATCACAGAATTTATAATAGCACGTAGTCTATTAGATCTAGATATTTTTATTTCATTTTTTTTAGATATTTTGTTTCAATTAGAGTTGGCAAGACTGAAACTTACACTGGCCATGTTATTGCTGTGCATGTCAAATCTTAGTCGAGTTCAAATTGCTGATCGGCATTTGCAATTATTTCGTACAGTATCCATGCATTCTTTTATTCAGCGCGCTTGCAGCGCTTTTAGCGCATGTGTTAAATCATTAAGCCTACTGTCAGCGCGCTTCAGGAGCGCTTTCAACGCACTAGCAGCACCTCTCGACCAAACTAAAAATAGTGTTTACAAGATGGATGCCTCCATGAGAAAGTATCTTTTTCGACTACCAAATAATAATCAGTTTTTTGCTGTTTTAAATGAGCAGATTTTTAATCGGGACATACGAAAATGGCTTTTAAAGATTTTATTTGAATACTTAGGTACGATATTGTGAACGTAACCAACGGTTTTTGCACGCTTTCTTCGTTGTTGTGAAACAGTCATCGCCAATGCCATAAATAAATCATCATTCCCTTGTCTTCTTATAATTAACATCGAACTTAATGGCTTTTCTTCTAATATGCGTGTAAATATAGCAGAAAGAAAATCATTGTTTATATCAGCCATTTTGAGATAGCTCTTTGTCCAGCAAAAGTGTTTTCAACGGTCAGCAGAGAAAACGTCATTTCCGGCAGCAACTGCTCAGCGCATTACTGAATAAAAGAATGCGCGGTATATTAAATTCATTTGATCTCTAAAATGCCAAAAAGAAACCATGTGTTTACTGATGATTGAAAAAAAGTCTGTGATTGTATTGACGAAGTGAAATATGAACTGTGCTTTTCAGAATTTTCAGTAACTCATGGTGGGCATTCAAACATTAAAAATCATTTGAAATGTGTGAAACATAAGGCAAGCAATAAGAACTTCCTCAAATGTATTGTCATATTTTAAATGTACCGATTAAAACAACAAAGAATTTTTAACAAAGTTTACACTAGTGATAAATATTAATAATAAGATATGTTTAGTTCAGTTATTAAAAATTGCTTTTAACTCGTTGGTTTTGTTAACAACTACTTTATTTAGCCTTTTCAATCATAGCTACTTATCCTAGTAGGCTAATTTTCTGTTACGAGTATCTCAAAATTGTCCCGGTTTGAGAAAAAAATATTATGGTAAGCCTAGAAATGTTCTAACTTTGAGGGTTTAAGATTGGAGTTGGAAAATATTTTGCAACATAAAATACATTGTGGTCATTGCATACCATCTTTTTCTGTTGTACAAGTGAATCCATAAGCAACATAATCATCTTTCCATTGACACTTTTTCGACATAACAAGGGTTACTACAATTTTAATTACAATTACAGTCACCTCATTCATATTTTGTTTTTAAATTTTTTAAATTTCTCTCACACTCCAGGTTAAGAACCACTGTACAATATGAAAACAATCTTAGGAAAAAATAGTTGAAAATTGGTATAATGTAGTTTCTTTAATTTTTTTGTTTTTTCTTCTATCTTATTTTATTTTCTTTTTAAGAAACAAAACTATAAATAATATAATTAAACCAATCATTCACAAATAAAATAAGTTATTTGAACATAAAAATCTCTGATTCATCTAGCATAGAGAATATTATTGAAGAGTAATTCAAAATAATTACTAAATAGATCAGTTGTTTATATTTTTCTTTCTTTTCTAACATTACATTAATCTGAATTTCTAATACTTTCTATAATAAAGTAATTAACACATCTAGTTTTCTAAAAAATTTAAGTTTGTATTGTTTTCATGACAAATTTTAAGCTTTAAAAACAAAAAGATATAATGTATTTAATTATGTGACACTTATTTCTACATGAAAATGATTTTTATATAAAATGCACATATTATCTTTCTGTATTATTATACTGTAAATTATATATATAACAATATAAAAATATTAAAAAACTTACCAATAATTATGCCATATTCCATCATCTTGATGAAATAAATTTTCTACTAATGGATAAACTAAAACAATGTCTGAAACATCTCTAAACAAAATGAAAAAAATCAAATTAAAATAATCACCAAATTATTTTATATTAATAAGAAGAATGTGAAATTTTGCCACATTGACAAGTATGTAATAATCAACTGTTTTCAATAAATAAAAAAACCTTTATTTAAAATTTATTCAAGTTTTAGAATGCAACATAATTGGCATTTTTGTTCATAACTATATCTGCTATACATAAAATAACATAAGAATTGTCCTAATCATTTTTTTGCTCTAGCATATTATAGCTACTAAATTCTTATCAATATCAATATTAATAAATATATAAAAATATTTAGGAATATGTTATGGAAACTTCAAAATAATATTTTTCATATTAAAAGATACAATTAATAAAGTTTGTAATTAGTTTCCTGTATTTCTAATAGATATTAGTAAAGTTTTATTTCTAGAATAATTTATTGTAATTTGTATGATTATCATTATTTCATAAAAACTTTAATTTTTTTTAACTTATGAAATAATGATCACTGCTTTGATAGTATATACATATGTCACCAATTGTTATCAAGCTTTAATGATTGCAAAAATAAACATTATTCTCAGATAAACAAGGATACTTACAAGCTATGTTAAATGTCCTAAGTTTGAAACTAAATATGCAGTAATTATCCATGAATATACAAATGCAAACAACAACTCTTACCTGTGTATTTATTATATCAATAAATCATAATTTAAATGTTTCTATTTTTATAGATAAAATACTAATGATCCATAAAAGACCTTTGAAAGTGATCTTATATAAGTTATATATTACAAAAATTACTATCCTTTTTATTTCTTTGTTTCTAATTCCTATTCTACAGTTTCTTACATACACATGTATATATTTTCAATTAATTAAAAAATTTAGTTTTTAACATTTAAAATATTACCATTTGAACAGCCAATCAGTGAATTTTATTTAATTTGTATAAAATATAGATAAATATAAAAAAAACTATGATAATTATAATTATTACCTTTCATAAAGTTGAGTATAAAATCTAACATTTAATGCACCTAATTCAGATCCAACAAGAATAAATGGACGTGGTAAAGGTTTGCTTACAGTAACAAGATGATGTAAATCATCTACCATTCTAAATAGTAAAAAAAAACAGCAGCCAATAAAAATAAAAATGTATGTAAATTAAAGTTAAAAGTGAAGTTTTAAGTATCAAAATAATTTTAAATAAAATTAAAAAGTTTAAAACACTTACCGTTCAACAGTACTTAATTGACCAAACCTTTTTATTACATATGGATCTGATACATTCTATAAAATAAAATTAAACATTTACTTAGTTATAACTTATTTAAATTATTTTAATTTCATTTTTAATAAAATAATAATATTGATATAAAAGCCATTGTCTGTGTGTGTGTGAATTCGTTATAACTCCTGCAATTTTCGTCCAATCCAGATGAAATTTTGGTTATATTCACTTTATGTTCTGATGGAAAGTATAGGCCACTTATTTTGTGGAAACATTCGCTATAAAATAAATGTTTTTACAGATTTTGAATCAGTGATCGCGCTTATGTTGTGGTGACATCAGTGACCATGTCATGTTCATGCTTGACAAGGAAATTTCCCATAGGTTGCTTTTTAAAATATTTCGGCAAATGGCATATTTTAAACTTACTTCATTAAATTTAAAATTTAAACTTTAAAAAAAGATAGCCTCATCATGTCACTTCTATAACAAACTTTTAAAAAATCTTTCCATAGTGACCATGTGGCATTCTATTATCCATAATAGACACACAAAAACCTTTAAGTGACCAGTAAAATATTTAATTGAAAAAACAACAAACATTTTCAACCATATTCTTTGGCCTTCTATTATCCAATTGGATGTAACAATCTAACTACCCCATTATTTAGAAAGTGTTATTGCTCATCTAACTAATGTACAAACAATTTATCTTTGTTTTATCAATGTGGAATTAAGAGATGGCTCTGTCAAGGGCTGCAGAAATAGCATCACAATGCCAGTCATCAAAACAATATTGGGGTATCTATTACTAAAGGAAGACAGCAAGGGAATCTTTTAAAAGCCAATAGTGTTTACTCAGAATGTAGTGTATAAAGTAATTTTATAAAGAAAGATTTTAATATTTTTTTAATATAAAGACCTAAATCTGTTTATGTGTGTGTAAGTTAATTCTCTATAACTCCTCCTATTTTTGTCCACTCTGAATGAAATTTTGTTTTGTTGCTTTTTATGTTACAACAGATAATATAAACTACTTAATTTGTGGAAATATTAACAATTCTTGAATTTCTTGTAATCGCTATTCTCAATTCTTCAATCTCTACTTTCTCATAAAAAGTATTCCGTCGTGCTTGACGGGGAAATTTCTAGTATATTTATAATTATAAAAGCTGATAAAACTATAAAAAATTGAATATATACATTCAAAATCAAAACGTACGATATATTATAATTATTAAACATCATATAATTTATAATAATTTAATTATGTCCTCTGCTATTTATATTTTAAAAATATCAAAATAAATTAATTTTATACAAATTTTAATCCAATGTATAACAGAACAATAACAACTAAAAAACTAAATCATTAAAACATTTTAAATATAGAAATTTGTATCATAAAGTTTTATTCTATCATAGGATTTTGAAAATTTAACAATTTTATACATAAATCTTTTAACAGAATAATTGAAGTAAATGATTAGAATATATAAAAACCAATAAAAAAAGATCATATACATTTACATTCTGTAAACGTTGTCTGCTAAATCCAAGACCGTGACGATCATAAATGCAAACCTAAATAAAATAAAATCCAAAATGAAACAATGTTTTATCAGAAATAAAAATTTTTAACAGAGAATATTTTCTACCAAAATTTTTTAAAATGCTTTATTTATTTTTAAGTTAAAATAATATAACTTTTAAAAAGTAATATTTAAACTATATAATCTTTGAATATAATACAATATAATCAAATATTTCAATGTAATAAAACATTATTTAATTTAGCTGACACAATCTATCATTGGTCTTTTACAGTGGTACCTCAGGATACGAAATTAATCCGTTCCGAAACTGAGATCGTATCATGAAAATGTCGTAAGGTGGATCATCTTTTCCCATACGATTACATGTAAAACCAAATAATTCGTTCCAACGCGAAAAACATACTCAAATTAAAGCCAAGTAATACATTAAAAAAAATAACTGTAGTAAGAAAAACAAATGAAAAATGCGAACTAATGTAACGTCGTATGGTGAGTTTTTGTTCGTATCGTGGAGCAAAAATATGTTCGAATTTCATGTCGTATCCTGAAAATTTCGTATGCTGGGGCGTTCGTAACCTGAGGTACCACTGTATTCACGTCTTGTAATATATAACTGACTTTGACTATTAAGAAATTCAATAAACAATTTAACAGATTTCATTTCCATCGAAATCTGTTAAATTAATGTAACTTTGGCATACAAAAAGAAGAGACTATAACTCCAATCCAGATAGTATTTAAAAACATAATTAAAATTAAGCTTTTAGGTACCATCTCTAACAAATCTAAAATAAATGCAATTTTAAATCTAACAAAAATGGTAAGAAATATCAAATTATAAGTGAAAAATAACTAGAAATTTTCTTTATGTTTACATTTTCTGAGAAGTTCAAAATAATCACAAGAATATGAAGAGTAGAAACTTCTCTCTCAAACTTATAAAACATTGTTGGTAAAAAAACAATTTTTTAAATAAAATTAGCTAAATATACCTGTGTTAGCTTTGATAATTCTTTCTGTGCAGGTATCCAAATATCAGATGTCATACCAGTAGATGAATCCATAATAACTATTTTAGAAAAAAAAAATTAAAACAATCTTTTTAATACAGCTAAAAATACATTTTTTAAATATATTTTTAAAATAATACACAACAAATAAAATAAATATTACAGTAATTTTATTCTTGAAATTTCAATGTATTCAAAATGGCCAAATTACACTATAATGTAGTTTTACTAAAAAACACCTTAGAAGTTAGAAAGGATAAAAATACAGACACATAATATACAAGGTCTGTTCAAAAAGTATCGGACCTTTTTTTTTCCGCATAAACCAATGATGTGCGAGAGGCCTCCTTCGGTGGAGTTGTGGAGGGGACAGTCATGCACAGCCCTGAATTTTTTCCCGCCTGCAGGAAGCGTCAGTCGTTGGCAATCGGCCTATGAGTGAGGTCATGAAGTGCGCTCTCGTTGGATTCCACTAAGCTGGAAAATGACTGAACAACGTGAGCTGCGATATTACATCAAATTTTGCCAAAAACCTTGGCGATACCCAAGCGTAAACAATTCACAAGATTCAGCAGGCTTTCGGGGACGATCCTCGAGGCCAAAAAAAGCGCGGCAGGTCCGCAGCAATATCAAAGGTCATGTTGACAGTTTTTTCGACTCTCGTGGGGTGGTGTGTCGTGAGTACGCACCACAAGGCCAAACCATCGCAAAGGAGTACTACCAGGAGGTCCTTCGTCGTCTTTCCGATACAGTGCGACGCAAACGACCGGATCTGTGGTCGATCAAAACTTGGCAGCTCCATCGTGATAACGCATCCGCCCATTCTGCGCATCTGATTCGGGCTTTCGTCGCCAAACACAATACTCCTGTGGTTCGTCACGCTCCGTACTCTCTCCACATGGCTCCGTGTGACCTTTGGCTATTTCTCAAGCTGAAAATGCCGCTAAAAGGAACCCAAATTTAGTCGAGAGAAGACATCATGCGAAATGCGACGGACCGGCTGATAACCATTCCAAAAGATGCGTTCCAGCAGTGTTTCCAGCAATGGCAGGAACGCTGGGAGAAGTGTATACATTACCAAGGAGACTACTTTGAAGGGGATTAAGGCTTTGTACATCAAAATTAATAAATTTATTTTTGCCGACCAAAGGTCCGATACTTTTTGAACAGACCTTGTAGTTTTATTTCTTAAATAGTAATAATTTCTATTAACAACTAAAATTATTGATTTTAATAAAAATAAGAAAATGCAAGTATAGCTCAAACAATAAAATGTTTTAATTCTTATATTAATAAGTTCTTTAGCAAATTTTTTATTAATACTAATAAATAGTGTTGGACCAAATATTTATCATTATTTGGTATTTGGTTATATTTGGAAACAAAGTAACTTTCAATATTTGGTATTCAGCCAAATATTAAACATGTGTATTTGATTTTTGAACTGAATACTTCCTAAAAGCTGAATTATTTTGCTGAATAATCTCACTTTAGTTTGGGGAGGGAGAAAGAAGGAAAAAGTAAATAAATAAATAAAACCAAAAATAAAATGAAAAGAAAATTTTAATCTATTGTTATTTATTCCTTTTTAAAACAAATACCAATATAACTTTAATAAATAATCACAAGCAAATACTATTTATTAATAACAATAATTCAAGAGTGATAAATTGAAATGAAGGAACATTAGTGCTTCTGCATTCATAGGATGTATATAATTTTGTTGGTGTCATAAATACTTCTAACTTTGCTGAACATACTGTATGTTCACTACATATCACTACATACACTTCTTTGTGGGGCTGCCAAAAAAAATGTCAGACCTCAATGGCATGATTTAATTTTTTACTTTTTATCATATAATAATAATTTCTTAAAAATAAAAATGTATATACCAGGGATGGTTGAACCCTTTTGAGCCTATGTGCCATATAGTAAGCATACTTAGTTTTAAAAATGTTTATGCGTGCCAAAGTTTTAGACTTTGAATAACAATATTTAAAAAAATTAAGCAAATATGAATAAATAAAACGAATATTAGAATAAATGTAAAGAAGCTGATTGAAAAAAGATCAGGTGATAAACTGAAAGGATGATTGAAAAACAGATGACAAATTGAAATACAGATGATAAATTGAAATCATATGATACGTTACATACCACTTTGGGTATGTGTGCCATAGGATCACTGTCCCTGGTATATACTCTTTATTACTAAACAGAAGCTTCTTTCCATCTTAGTCTAAGTCAGTGGTGATTCCCAAAGTGGGCATCCCCTTTGGAAGTAGGAGATTCAAGGACACTGGAAATCAAGGGGGTGTTAAGGATGTTTAAAGACAAGGAAAATAAAAATTTAACTGTTGAGCTTCAAACAGATAACTGTAAAGAGCAATTTTTGAGAAATACAACTTTATGCATAAGGCATAAAAAGTACTTCTCTTCATAAACATAATGAGAAAATAAACAAGTTGGAAATTATATAAATTGAGAAAAGTAAACTATTTGCACTAGCAGTTGAAGAAATTGATCAATTCATTATGAAATTATTAGAGAAATTTGTAGTTGCTCTTAAAACTGTCACTGGCTTTAAACTCAGTGATAGTGTCTTATTAATAAAGATAACTAATTACAATTTAAATAAAAATACAAAACAAAAACCAGAAAAAATATGCTGACTATTGTGAATATTGCCTAATTATGTTTATTATTATTATATTGCCTAAAAAAATATAAAAAACACAAAACATACTTTAAACAATTGGTAAAGAATTAAAATGAAATCATTAATTAAAATAAGAAATTTAAAAAAAATGCTGATTGAGATATTCTGATATCCATAACAGTCAAGGAGCATTTTAGGACAAAACTGTATAAAGTGTATGGATAGAGTTTTAAATATATAAAAATGATTAGCAATTATTGAATATAAAATGATCTCAGTCAGTAGAAAATTGAGATGATTTATTAATATTTAAAAATTTGTTTTTAAATTGTTTGGCTGGCAGGATTTATCTATGACCATTGACTACCATAATTTCACTCATACATTTAACAAAAAATTTACAAAAATAAATAAATTTATAAAAAAATTTATTCAAATATAAATAAATGTAAATTAATATTATTTAAAAATTTAATTTGTAAACTGGTGTTTTGAAATGGCGAAAAGGAAAATGAAAACAAATTTTTGTATATTCGTATTATTTTATATTTTTATGTTAACTTATAAATTAAGCCTTATAACTTACTTTATTCTTAATTTCTGATTTTATTATATAAAACCTTCCTGTTTTACCTGTTGGAAGTCCTTTTCCCAAACAGCTAATGTACATTGTCTGTTGCCAGTTGAAATCAAGAAATTCACCTAAAAATATTTGCATATTTAATAATTATCAATAAATAAATCAAAAGTAGTAACAAAATAACACAGATATAACAAAAAAATGCTTAAAATAATAAATTAAATTAAATTGAAATGTGTTATGAGGGACATGTTATGACAATTATATTGGACAAGACTTAAAAAAATCTGATAAAAATTCTCAGACATAGTTTTCTGATCCTGATATTTTTATTAATTCATAAATAATAGAATAATTACTTTAATTTATAATTATTGCATATCATAAAATAAAATTTATCTAATACAAATTAGTAATTTTTTTTAACTAAATATTTTCAGAGTACAAACACACCTTTTCTACAGTTCTAGCAAAAAATTATGTTTAATTTTTCTTTTAAAAGTTGCATTCTAAAAGAAAAATTTCTATAACCTTTTTGAAGTTTGTACTGATATTCTGTTCGAATATCATTTAACTGATGAAGTGTTAAATAAAATAAAAGTGTTTTCTTAACATAAAAAAGATTATAATTTTGTTATGTTTATATACTGAGTTATACATCATACTTTCAGGTTTCCTTCCATTTATACCATACATAGAAAACATTTTAAACCATTTTACACTGGCATTTGATGAGAGACAACTTGTAAGTCATTATTTAGCAGAACCGAAGGTATTAGAGATTCTTGATATATAATTAATCCAGGAAGAGTGTATGTATCAATGTCAAGGACGCCATATCAGATGTGTAGAAAACTTTTGCAACTTGATATGGTCGTCTACTCCATGTATATATTTTTAATTTTTCATGGCTAATTTCTAATATTTAATGGATTTACTTCTATAATCTGTCTGAGTTATGTAGGTCTGGAACAAGTTTTGAATACTTAAATTTTGTATTTGTTTGAAAATTTGTGTTCTAAAATTCTCTCTATTCTAATTTTTGTACATTTTTTAAACTCATTTTTGGTAATGCCTGAAAACAGTCAGTGTAAAATGGCTGAAAACATTTGTAACATATAGTATTAAGTTTAGTTTTTTTTGGAATTGTAGAAAAGATGTGGTGTGGTTATACTCTGAACTTCCTATTCCAATTGCATGTTTGCATGTATATAATTTTTCATAATTAAATATGAACAATAGTATATATATATATATATTTTACAATAAAAAAATTCATTTTTATGAATTAAATATAAAACTATTGTTCATATTTAATTCATAACTATGAAATTAGTTTTTTTTTATAGACATTATAAAATTAACTTACCTGATAATTTGAATTCTCTATTTTCATATTTCAAAGCAGCATAATTTAATAATGGTATTATAATCAGTCCTAATAACCAACATTTCCAATCAAAAATATATAAAAAGAACGTTTTTATAAAACTTGGCTTAACTTGAACATTAACATTAGACTTTTTTAAATCTTCTGTTTCATTATTTTTTTTTTTACTTTGTAACGATTGCTTATTGTTGTTATTAGTATTTAATGAATCTTCATTCTATTTAAAAATTCAATTTAATAATTTTTTAATATCAAAAAATAGTTTTAAGTTATTGTTTAATTAAATTAAATTGTTAAATTTAATTTTTAAAATTTCAATCTATAAAATTTTATTTAACTATTTCTTCCATCAACTACTGCTTGAATTATTAGTTCAAACTATTTGAAAAGCAGATGACTAAAACAGGGCCATGTTCAGTAACGCAGAACACCGAAGTTAGAATTCTGAGAGGCTTAGTATGCGGAGCTAAGAATACTGTACATATAAGAAGCTAGTGGTGGGAGGAGTCAAGCAGTAGTTAGAAACAAGTTCATCATCACAGCATAACTAGACTTAGCAAGAATTCTGCATTACTGAACACAGCCCTGTTAAGACACATACCTATTATTTTGAGGATCTAATGAAACCTCATTCAATTAGATCCTCAAAATTCTTAGATCAGATGACAGATCTCATCTTTGGCAGCTAGTGTTTGGACTAGAGCATTATATAAATGTTTCTGCAATTCAGCCTAACCAATTGGCCAGGCCTCATTGCAGGCTTGAATAAATCCCTCATAGATATAAATTAAGTCTTCTTAATGTTCATAGGACAGAGAAAGTTTTTAAAAAATTACAACTATTAAAAAACCAGAATAGTTGTATTTCAATAAATAGTTTTTACTGAGCTGTAGTTTGAAAAAATTGTAGACCTATAAATTCCTACTGTTATGTCTGTCTGTCTTTCCTTAATCTCGAGAATGGAGTTAGATAGATGAAAGACAAGACCAAATATGAAAGTTTAGGATGGAGGCCCTGATGAAGTATATACAAACTTCTGATTTGCACCAAAGTCACATTATTTCAATTAAAGAATTTTTCCCTGAAAGATGTTCAATAGATGATTGGCACAACTCTATTGTTAAAGGAAAAGTATGATGTACAAGGACAAGCCACTACTGATTTGAGATGGAGAGCATATATTTTAAATTAAATAAATTAGAAATACGATCAAAAATTGCAGCCTGGTATTGTGACAATGTAACAATAAATAATTGCTCATAATAATTTAACAATATAGTAAATCTTTACCTCTAATACCAAATTACTTAATATCTAATTATTAATAGTAGTGAAAAATAGCCTGATTAATCATAGCAATTGTTTGGTTTATTACAGTAGAACCTCAATTTAACAGTCTAATTTGAACAAGTGAATGTCCATTACAGCTGAAAGTTTGTTATATAATAAAGTAATATAATATAATAAAATAATTTTCCAAATGCATGCGTTAAAAAATTTAAAAATTAGTTTATCTGTTTTTACTTATGTTAATACATTTGTTTAATTAAAATTATGTATGTATGTATGTATGTATGTATGCATGTATGAGAAGTTTAATTTCACAGGAAGGTTTTATGTATGTATTATTGCTTACATACTCACCATAGTTCTGAGACTGTAATAAACAAGTATGCAATCTAAATCAAAATAAATAAACAAGTATTTTCTGGAAAATACAATTTAATTGTAACAGCAATCCACAAAACCTTTTTATAACAGTGTTGTGTGATTAGTAGTCTTTTTGTATTTGATTGTATTTAACTAACCAAATAAATAATGTTCTTAAGAGTGATGACTGTTGAATTTGAAAAAGTAACCTGTTAATTTTATACATAAAAAACAAAAAAAAAAAAAAAAAATACTTTTTACAGAATCTTCTGATAATGTGACTAACCTGAAATTTATTCCAATTGTTTAGAACAAGAAACATTCAACCTACACATCTAAATATTTGCAAAACAGATTTTTTCTCATTTGAAATTCTTAAAAACCACAATGATATAATTATAAACTAAATAACATTCTATTTTTACTTTTTTCCAACATAAAAATCTCAAGTTTTAAACAGTTTTAAACACAGAAAGAGTAATATGGTTAAAAATTTCTATTGCTAGAGAGGTTGCAGCCGATGCTTTCAGCCCAAAACGTGAATGTCAAATGTCAAGTGCCGCCATCTGGCAATTCTAGAATGTTGATAATGGCATTCACTACATCTAGCATGGAGAGTAGAAGTTCGGCTTAAACTTTATTTTTTTGTGTTTGGAGTTAAAATTATGATGTATTTTATTAAAATAATGATTATTTAAACATTTATGAATAATATTGTAAAGAAACAGATGATTTTAATCCAGAAATTATTTAATTATTCAATTTTTTTGCAAGTGATATGAAGTGCCTATAGAATTTACATATATTTCTGTTCATAATAGCTTATCATAATTCTGTAGGAGTAGGTTTGTTCTTTCACAGCATCTTCTACCATCAACAGTGCAATACATTTGTAAATTTTCTAAAATAATTTCCCGAGCTGCTCTCGGATTTACATAAGCCACTTTCCCTCAACAAAAGTATGAGGTAGTCTTATCATCCTATTGTATAGTAGGAGATACAATGCTAATTAAAAATAATTATTTAGTGTTATCAAACATCATATAAATACTTTAAAATAGTTTAATTTGTTTATTTGCCTTCGCTGTTAACATTCGTCGTCGTTAAATGTTTCCGCCATTTTTCAACAATACCCCATGAGTCAGTGCATGACGTGAATGTGTGGCGCAATGTGTTCTACATGGAGTTCAAACATCAAACATGTACTTCTGCTTACTGTACAAGATTAACGTTTGAACTTTGGTTGCAACCTCTCTACTGTCTTTTAAAGAAAACTTATAAACAGTATTTACTGTATTACTATTTTCAACAACTGTGACAAAACATTCTTTGAATATTAGCTCCATGTATAGGTAATCATTGCAACACTGCTTTCTTTTTTCCACTGTGACCAATGTGATTTTCTTTTTGTCAGATTACTAGTATTAAATAAATAATAATAATTAAATAAATAAATAAATTTATTTATTTATTTAATTACTAGTATACATAAAAAATTTCTTTTTTAAAAAACATTAAATTTTTATATTGCATAATTTTAATGTTTTGTTTAAAACATTATACATAAGTGGTGCAGTTGTCAGTGGCGTAGTGAGGGGGTGTATCATGCACTGGGCGCCCCTCTGCAAGTGGCACCCAAATAGTCTCCTAGACAAACTATGGGTGCGTTTATTTTTTGCTAGCTTCCAAGCTCACTGAGCTGACACCTAGCGCAGCCTGACATCATACTAGCATTTTGGTAAAAGTATACACAGTAATGAATGCCACCATCTTTGAACAAACTCCAAGCTCGTTGTAAATTCTCCAAGCACTCCGAGCGCGCTAGGAATGCTAGCAATGACGTTATGGGTGCAAAAAGTAAACACCATGCTCATTGATAGCCAACAAAAAGTATACAGACTGAGCGTGCTAGGGGCGAGATCGGAGCTAAAAGTAAACATACCCAATATGTGTTTCTGGGGGGGGGAGGGGGCGCCAATAAAGTGTCAGGCCCTGGGCGTCAGTTATGTTTGCTACACCACTGGCAGTTGTGCATTTCAGTATTCTCTATTCATAGGATATGTCACCATCTACATATGAAATGGTTTTTCTGTGTTTATCTGTTTTGTTGTTTTTCAGTTTCAAATTAGGTGAAATTGTATCTGTGGTGTACTTGCCACTATGCACCTTCTGATGTAAATATTATTTGTGCTTACTTTTTAATTTATTTTTTAAATGTATTTGAAAGAGTTACTTACATTTTGCATATCTACTGCATATATATATCTTTATTTAACAATGTCATAAGTTTCAATAAATTTGTAGACTTATATTAGTTTTGAAATATACCAAACAGCTTTTGAGATCGCTAGATTTTCATGATGTTTCTTGCTCTTATACAACTTTGACCCAGAAGGAATTGGATGGTGCTTTAGAATGTCAAAAAATCAATAGAAAAAAAAGAGAAAAGTTATAAAAGATTGAATCTGAGTCAGAAAGTAGAATGATTATAGAAGATAATCAGGACAGTGAATCCAAATAATTAACTAATTAGACAGATAACATTTTTGTAGAAGACTAGAATAACAGAACAAAATTCATCTCTCAAGACAGTGATAAAAATATTTGATATAAAATGAATATACATTCTAGAATTGCCAGATGGCAGCACTTGACATCCGACATTCACATTTTGGGCTGAAAATATCAACTGCAACCTCACTAGCAATAGAAATTTTTAACCATATTACTCTTTCTGTGTTTAAAACTGTTTTATAATATTTGATAAAAAGTCATATACAGTAATTACTAAATGTGCCAGGTGTAAAGGGAAGCAACAGACTGAAATGGAGTGATTTATTTTTAATTATTTAAATGATTTATGCATTTGTTTAATAAAAAATTTCAAGAACAATTTCCTCTTTTACTTTATCAATATTAAAAAAAACACTAACTATTGGAAGTGATATTACGTATGTGGTGTAATAGTCACAACACAGCATCTCGCAAGACTCTAAAAGGTGCACCCCTCATAAAGAATTGGTTAAAGAAGATAAAAATGTAATAAAATTGAAAATTAATGATTAAAATATTATAATATTACATTATTTTAAAGAAATGAAGCTTTTGTTAGCAATAAAAAAATCTTAGGGGCAATCACACTATAGTGGCACAACATAAGCATCAGTACAGTATTATAATTTGTTATTTTATAAACATGGAATTATTTAATATGTTTTCTTTCCTTGAAGCTCTCTGTGAACTGGCAACCATAGATATCCAGTGTAGTAGACGTTTACGAATACGGATACGGTTACGTTACGGCGTTTATAACTCGACCCAAAGGCTTGCAAACCAGTACATTTTGATTAGCTTTATCTTAAATTGTAAAGTTTCAAGAAATTATTGCTTTCTTCTTTACTGCAAGGTTTTACTGTAATTTATTTCTTTTTATATTTGTTTAGTAGTACTTAATAAAATATTTAGTTTAAAGTTTGAAGTTTGTTTTAAAGCCTTTGAATAATTATTTTTGGACAAGTAAAATAATTATATATATATATAGTAAATAATCAGATTAAATGTTAAGTAATACCGTTTTATTAGAAGAAGGCTTCGTTCGTTTTCTTTTCATTTTAACACAGAATTATCATTAAAAAAAAAAAAAACTACAAAACACGAATTATTTTATGTAACACACAACACCGACACAAATACAAAACAGAAACACNTATTTTTAAAATCCTGATTTCTTAGATTTATTGCAGTCGTGTACAAAGACAGTTTTCAAATTTTTATAACTGATAAATTGCAAAGTTGAAAAGCTTTTGTGAATGAGGTTCATTGTTTATTGATGAATTTCAGTGAGTAAATCAAATAATGGAACGTGTTTTAACAATTATTTTATAATCTGTAGTTATATATTTTCAATTAATTTTATTAGTTAATGTTTCTGAAATGAGCAGAATTAATGGTCTGATGATATTTGGGTCAAAGATATATCCACTGGTACTGCAGGTACTGCTTGTTGTTTTCAGATTTTATTGATTAATGTGCAGAACTTTTGGACTTGAAAATTTTTTTTAACACGCCAGGGCATGTGAATAATTTCATTACCAATACCTGTAAATCAAATGTTTCGTTAAGTATATAACAAACTTCCTCTACAAACTGTCAGAATAACAGATATCAAAGTGATTATTTTTGATTGTGTAAAAGCAAAGTAGACAATCTAATCTCCGTATGGGTAACATTCCCGTGACAGATAGAGTCCAAAGAATAAGGATTTATGTCTATCTGACTTTACTATACTATTTTATAGCGGTCAGTGTGGAGTTAATGACTGCACTCTTTTTCCCCACTCGTCCATTTTGGTCATCAAGGTAAGGATAAAGAGCCCTTGCCCCCCTTTTACGACACGGTAATTACTCCCTCTGGCGGATGTCTAGCGAAGCTTCAGACAAAGTCGTAAAAAGAACAGATACTAAGAATGGCTTTGGGCGGAGAAGGTATCTAATCGTTTGCTTGTGTGAATTGTCTCCTCTCTTATGACTACCAATGTAAACAGCAGAAAAGGATAAGAGAGCACAAGAGTAATATCGAAGACGTGTACACAGCTAAGATTGTCCTGTTATGTCTCGTAAGGGAGCGCAACTTTGCTATTACTTTCTTTTCCTTTCTGTCTTACAGGTGAAATTCAATTTTCTTCCTCGTAATTCTCTCTAATAAGTTTATTTCTAGAAACAGTTTATACATTTTTATAGTTTGCAACATTTGGAAAAACATCTATTGAAAATTTCTCTCTTATTTTATCCTATAAAATATTATTATTATTATTAAAAACAAGTTATTACTTTTTATCTGTCAAATTTCTTATTATCTTGAGTTTAAAAAGAAAACGGTCTATCTTGATTTGTTATATACTTATGTTTATCCTATTAAATCATAATAATTAATATTTATAAATTCGAATCAATTCAATAAATTTAATTTTTAAAATAAAAATTTCATTTCATCTCATAAAGGAATTATTCTTTTAGAAGAGAGATGGTTAATATTTATCAATTCATTCATTTTTCTTTGCATTTTCAGATTTTGTATTCTTCAAAATAACAATTTCAATATAATTCGTACTTCATTTACGAAAATTGTTTAATTTTAATTAAATTCATTTCGTTATTCTAATCCGTAGGGGAGCGTAATAAATATTACAACCCGCATTTCAAGAATCGATTAATAGAATCCTAAAATTAGTTTCCTTCGTGGAAAAAGAACCGAATACCAGGAGTTCTGTCACCATCCCCGATAACTTTGCAACGGTAAAAATTGGGAAAATATCCTTTAAAACATTTGTGAAGGAATCAACATGCTGTCCGCATTCTTCGCTTAATTGACAGGTTACTATGTATGGTACTATTATTATTATTATTATACCTTTGCAGTTACAGCTTCATTCATCTTCAGTTAAGCTGACAGTTACGAAATAACAAGACTTAAACCACTTCAAATTATCTTCTTTCAATAGATCTAATTAATCATTAAAGTCCTGAAATTCTTGAAGGCTTGTCATCATAGTAATATAAACAATATTAATGAAATAAATGTTCTACTTTAAGTACCCAAAGAGAAAAATTTAACTATTTATCGGGTCATTCTCAGCTTTACAATATATTTTTAGATTTACAAAATTTAAATAGCTCTTGTGCAAAATGTTTTCAATTATTTGAGTTGTCGGTTATCAAATTCGAATTTTAAATTATTAATTAAGCTTTATAAAGATAGATTAAATTAATGAAATCTAAACTCATAATATTCTATAAGTGTTCAACGAACTTTTATTTCATTATTATTATTTTTAATTATTTTTCCGGAGATCTCGTTTTTCTGGATAAATAATTAGGATCGTACCAAATTTCTTTTTAGAATGTTCTACTTATCCAATAGTAGCATAACGAGAGGTTGATTGGTTTATACTTTATTGCTCTTGATTTTTCTTGACGATCCATTGTTTGGCTCCACTGTTATGTAGCGAAATTTATTGAATTCGTACACATTTTTCCATAAGTCACTCCATAAACTTAGCCCCTGTTGTTATCGATGAAAGCAAAATATTTTTGGAGACTTTCAAATCATGGAATTAATTTTTTTAAAAAAAACGTATAAATTAGATATTTATTTGTTTTATTTAAAATGATAATGAAACCTAGCATATCTTGAAGTTCAACTAACTTTCTGACCAGATAACCAGGTGACCAAGCAGTCTACAACAAAATTGACTCTAAATTACGATGGTGAAATGAATTTCTGTACTGTGCATTCGAAATTCTTGAGAATCTTTTCTTGATATTTCTATATTTATTGTATCTTAAAGCACTACAAACAAAACTTACATAAACCTATTGTTACCAACTTTATTTATCTAACAGTAAGAGTTTCAAAGTTACTATAGTAAATAATAAACTAAATCATACTGATTATATATTGTAGGTATATCACTTTATGCTACATCCATAAATAGTTTTCGATCTTCAAAGAATAGCAGTTTATGACTTTGCAGAAAATCTAAATCAAAACTTCTATAAATGATTGATAAAATTTATTGTATCATTTCTATTTTTGTATGTAATAAATTTTAACAAATTGATTTCTTTTTCCATTCTTTAAGATTGATAGAAAGTGCCCTTTATACATTGGATCTATTACAGAACAGAATGGGAAAGGAAGATTCAAACCAAATTATCCATAAAAAATTTTGAAGAATAGATTCCGAATGGTGCAGATTCGATGGCCTTAAATTTTGATTATATCACACAAGTCGAGCCAATAGATTATAAGGTTTGAATCACTTCCGAAATGCCCTCACCTATTTCCATTGATTGGTAGTAGAACTATTTAAATGTGAAACCGATCTCGTCATTAAACATAAGGACTTGATTATTGAAATTTAATAAATATTCTGTATTCATTATCATAAACTTCAGCAATTAACCAAGGGCTATAGACCATTAATTAGATCAGTTCAAGTCGAATTGATTAATTGAATAAAAAATGAGCGCTAGAAGCTATCCGATTCTATATTTTTCGGGTGTTAGAACGTCCCGCATTATTTAAGATACGTTAAAATTGAAGAAGAGAGAAAGTTTTAGAATTTTTGAAAATTAGCATTTTGTAAAATATGTTTAGATAAATTCTCGACTGATGCATTTATCATCTCGGCATTCCGCCTCTTGATCCATATTAATTTAAACTTTAAAGAGTCTATCGCAATAAATGATTAGTGTTTCAGAAAGACACAAGCATAAATTTGAAGTTTATATCATGAACTATGTTTTTAATAATGTAAAAATCAGTTTAAAAACTGATCAATGTAATATGAAAAAGTCAGATATTATAAATAAAATTAGTCAGATGGATATAATTTCAATTGATTTAATTTGTAAAATCATGGCAGGTAGTCTACAGCTCATTGATCAATTACACTCAGTTAATTTCTAATACATAATTGTTTAAACTTTCTAGCACTGTCTACATCAGTGGTTCTCAATCATTTTGACTAACAAGTAAGTGGCACATACACAACATTTAGTATCACACTAACGAACCAGTGTCGCATCAAAGATGCTTAAGTATGTATAATGAAAAGTGTATGCAAATATGCATTTTTATATGAAAAATTTTAAATATAGGTCTATATGAAATTCGCGGTACACGATTAAGAAGCATTAGTGTATATATCTGATGCGAAACGATCAACTTATTTTATACTCTTGTATGCGGGTAACAAATTTAAGATCGTTACAACATTTTTGGACATTAAGCTTACAAACTTTTCTGAAATTCGACATTAATGCATATGCGATAACGAATAAGCATCCATTTGCCAGGTAGAAAATTTCCCTTCTCTTTCACAGTTTATAAACAGAATTAATCATCTCAGGAATTCTGCGAGATAAAGCTTTAAAAATAAAATAAAAACTTGATAATTATGATTAAATTAAAATCTTTGATTTCATTGAGAAAATAATTTTTATAACAAGTCTTAAACAAAAGTACTGTATTCCACATGATATAAGACAGACCCCAATTTTACAGCACAGAATATTTAGGAAAAGTATTTAGTCTGTTTAAGCTGTCTCACACCTTTATCACTTGATCCCAAAATATTTTTAATTACTATAGTCAGTAATTAAAAATGTAAAATTAGGATACACAATTTTTTTGGATGCATATGATGACTGATTAATTGATAATTGTCTTATGTTATCTAACTTTAATATTTACAATAATTGTTTTCAAATAATTAAAGTTAGCATGTTTAATTAAACAATAACATTTTTTATTCAAGAGTTGGGTTAGGTAGAGGTTACTTATAGTAGGATGACCAGAGGTCCCCAATTTCTGGAGATTGTCCATGGTTTTTCCTATTTTTAATACTTGATTGTGGACTCTATCTTTGATTAAAGCAGTTTTATTAACATGTCAATATAATATTACCAATTTGTACATAAATAAATAAATAACTTTAGAAAATAAGGAAAGTTCAGATTTAGATCTTACTTTTACTGATTCTGAAATGCATCCCCAGTTGGATTGTAAAAGATATGGTCTGTCTACCTGTAACCTACTGGAGGTCATTTTGGGGAATTCATTAGCCTATGGGAGATTGCAACTTTGCATAGATGTAAGAATGTAAGACACAAAATCAAATATATGTTATATAAAACTTATTAGTGTCATTTTTGAATTTTTATTTTTATTGCTATTTTTAAATTATGCTAAATATTTGGTATCAGGTATGACAACATTCAATAATTTGCTATTATCAGGTCAGTCCAAAAGTTCGTGTGCATTAGTAGCATGTATGGGATTCGCGATGACTTATTACCAGATCGATAAGATTCCGAACTTGTCGAAACTTGTCATCGCTTGACTGAGTGTATTCGTCAGTTTGTCACCAATTTTTGTAAAGATCAGATGCATATTAGTACCGATAAAAAATGAATATCGATAACGCATATAAACGTGCTGTGTTATATTTTTTCTTTTCGAGTGGTGAAACTGCCAGATCTGCAGCAATAAAAATTAATAGTGTACATGGTGCACATACTATTAGTGTAAGGACTGCCCAGAAATGGTTTGCAAAATTTAAACTTGGAAAAAGCAACATTAATGATGAACCCCGTTCAGGACGTCCTGTCGATTTTGATAACAACATTCTTAAAACTCTTGTGGACTCAGAGCCACATTTAACAGTGGATCAGATCGCAGAAAAGATGCATTCATCTCATGGGACAGTCTTTCGCCATTTAAAGGAGATTGGAAAAGTATCCAAGCTTGGAAAGTGGGTACCACACGAGCTCTCCGGAGCCAATTGCCAGCAGCGATTAAACATTTGCATTTCCCTTCTATCTCGCTTTGAAAGAGAGCCATTTTTAGACCGTTTGGCAACGGGTGACGAAAAATGGATTATTTATGATAACGTCACCAGAAAAAGATAGTGGACAGACAAAGATAAGCAGCCAATTCCAACATCAAAGGCGTCTTTACATCCCAAAAAGGTTCTGCTAAGTGTGTGGTGGGATATGTATGGTGTCATTTATTATGAATTGTTAGAACCAAATAAAACCATTAATGCAGATGTATACAGTGAACAAATTTGCCGTTTAAATTCAAAATTGATTAAAAAATGCCTGCGATTGGTGAATATGAAGAAAGTGTTGTTACACCATGATAACGTTAGACCACATACAGCTCGAACAACACTGCAAAAAATTAATGAACTCAATTGGGAGCTTTTGCCACATCCTGCATACTTCCTGGATATTGCCCCAAGTGATTTTCAGTTATTTTGTGCCTTACAAAATTTTTGCCAAGGCAAAAAGTTCAATTCTAAACAGGATATACAAAATAAACTCAGAAGTTTTTTTGCTTCAAAACCAGAATCTTTTTACACCAATGGAATAAAAAAGCTACCAGAAAGATGGCGAGATATTGTAGATAGCGGAGGAAAATATATCATAGATTAAAATGTTAAATTGTGTTTTATTTACACCATTTAAAAATTTTGCCAAAATGCGCACGAACTTTTGGACTGACCTGATATAATTCACTAGTTTTTATACCAAATGACTTTAAATTTAATCTTACAGTATTATAAAATAGTAAATATATTTATTTATACTTTAAAAATATTTGTATTTAATCTTAAAAATTGAGGAAATTCACTACTTTTTCTTATTTGTTATAAATAGGTTGCTTTCTGAACTCAGGAAAAATTTTATATATGGATCCAGTTGACATTTCCTATTGATGTTAAAGTTTAAAGAAATTGATGACATTTGTCAGTATGTGTGATGTCTTATTTTACTTATAATAGTGAAAACTTTATACTGTATTTATAAATATATAAATATTTTAAAAACAACTTATAATTTAATTTATTCATATATTTTAAGTGTGTATGATTAACTATCTGTCTCTCTCTCAGCAATATTAATTATACTAAGACATACCTGATTTCTATTTGCTGAGTTTTTTCTTTATTCTGAACGTTTTCAGTCTATTTGGATAGGCCATCTTCAGGCTTTAAGAGTGTATGATTAAGGAAATCATAGAATTTATGTATACAGAATGTAACTAATCCTTATGCTAGTTTAGGAATAGATTCTAGGATCATAAACTGAAAATTCTCTACAAATGTTGTTCAAAATCTCCAAATAGTAGTTTTCAAATTCCCCACTAAGTACTAATAATAGAGTAGTTGACTTTAAAAGTAATTTTGTATTTCTTTTTATCCTTCTGTCAACAGATTGAAGTAAGTAAATGCTGTCCACGTAAGCCCAACTATAATAAATGTAAAAATCTTAAAATAGACAAGGCTTTATTTGCCTTGTCTATTTTAAGATTTTTGCAATATTAATCTGCTTTACAGTAAAGAAAAAAGTTGATGGAAAGCAAGAGTTTTTCAATGTAAATTTATTTTGAGTAACATTTTGTTTTTTACAAAATGAAATGGAATAATTCACTAGAACTGTTTAAACTGTGAGATTAGCCGAGGATACTAACCAAGAGTATCACTTACATGACTCAGAATCGCGAGATTCGATCTCTAATCTTTTTCTAGGAGGGCTGTTAATTATGTTTCAAAACTATCTGGACTGTGAAGTCTAGATCTACGTCAGGATTCCTTGACACCAGTTAATCAGTTATTTTAAACGCGGATTAACACGCGTTATCCTTAAACTCGGAATTCGGAAGATCTAAGGTAACTTGAATGAAAATGAATGTCTAATAAGAATCAAGCCATTTTATAAAACAAATCAAGATATTTAATAAATCAAATAATAAAAATATACAACAATGAATCTGACCTATGTCTAAATCTAACTTAAACTATCTTATTTCTACCTAACGCGTGAGAGAGTTTACATCGATCTATTCAGAGTTTATATTACCTTCACTGTATTTTTCGTATCTGTTCCTGTATGAGGATCTTTTGCCTTCTTTAAATATTTTTCTTCTTCTATTTGAATGGAGGTTCTTTTATCTTTCTCCTTTGACAATCTTGTTGTATACTTATACTTCAATTAATTCAGTCTCGTATGGCCTTATCGATCTGGTATGACAATCACTTGTTTTGTATTCTCTTTGTATGGCAATACCTCTTCTTAACGTACTGCCTCTTAATATATTTCAAATTCTTCCGTATGGCAAATCCTTTCCTTGACGGACTGCTTCTTATCGAATGTCGGACTTATTTCGTATGGCAAACTTCCTTCGACGGACTGCGTCGAAAGGCAGGAAAACGGCCCTTTTATTTGGTCTTCCGTAACGTGTGCAAAAACTCGCCTCATCCTGAGTTAGCCTGGGAAAGGAAATCAACTTCCTTTCAAAAATCTGATGTTTCCACCGTTTTTAGATAAAATCTTGTTGAAGTTGAAAACATTATTTTCTGTTGTTTTAATTCTTTTCTCCAACTTATTATTTTAATTAAAATGGTCCTTTCCTGACCTTCAGATCTCACAAAACTGTCCTTTGCAGATATCAATGCATAATTGATTTTTTTGGCAGGCCAGATCTTCAAAACAAAGCAGAATTTGAAAAATCTTCTATAGAAGATTTTAAGCTTATTTTTGACCTTAGAATTTAATTTATCCCTAAAATATTGGCAATGATTTTTATACTTCCTGTACATATAAATGCCGGCAATCACTGTTAGACGCCAACCCGCCGTTTCCTCCCCACCACATGACCGCGCATGCCAGAAATGGCCCACCCAGTCGGAATCGACACCCAATCCCAACGAATAATATACATTCCAACCGGGGAATTTTCAGTCAATCTGAAGAAGAGCAAACAGATTGCTCGAAAACGTTTGTCAAGCAATATACTATATATACACATAGAGCACTGGTCACAGGTTCCAGATAGTGTAATGTTAATTTCACCTCGGTGCTGAAAGTAGAACAGTTCCTATACCATATAAATGCATTTTAAATATAACTTATATATACGTAACCTATTAATATGAGCTACTCGCTTGCCAAATCAATTAACTCCATAAAACAAAAATGGAGAAAAGTGATAAAGTAATATACATTCATTTTTAAAATTCCTTACAAAATATAAATTCAAATAAAAAATAAACATTGTAGAATGTATTATTGTAGATTTATCTTTTATTTAATGACATATAAAATGTATAAGATAGCATAGATATGCTATATCATTATTATTATGATTTTGGTGTGATTGTTGGAGTTAATCAATTTGGCAAGTGAAAAATATAGTAACATCAAATTCAGTCTTTACATTAGCATACATTTTTTATTTAAAATTTTTTGCAAAACTGAATAAAAACTGTTCTGTTACTTTGCATAACTTTGATTACTTTTTAACTTTGTGGTAATTTTTTAATAATCTATTTATGATGTCTTAAGAAGATTTTCTTTTTATTTCTTCAAGCTAATTGATTGTTACTTCTGAATTGGTCTGTGAAAAGGAAATGAAACAGACTTGAAAAATTATATATTTCTATGTAAATCTCTATAGCTTGTTCTGTTACTGTTACAATGGCTGTTGTTTATTACAGTTGACCCCCCTATAAGATCATAGATAGGTTCCATTTTTTAGGAATCCGATTTCTTACGAGTCATTCCAATCACAGCCCGACACGTGTAAAGTTTACGGACTACGGCTGATTGAAAGGTTTTCTTCCATAAAATTAATCGATTCTAGACTAATCCGACTCAACATTTCCAAAATACGTATANTATTAAATATTAACACCGGCATAGATATATAAAAAAAATTAAATAAATAAATATTTTAATTCCAAAGAGGGCGTGTTACTCACCAGCACAGATGGTTGATTGTAGGGCAGCGTGAAAACCAATTCCACTTGTTAGGTAAACATTATATTAAATTGATAAATAATAAATAAAAATCAGTTTTAGTGACTACTTGCAGTTTAAGAATGAATATATATCAATTGATTGTATTAGAATATAACTGAGTGAAATAACATTTAATAATTCTAATTATTTCCTCTAAAAATGCAATTATTTCAAGTTTTCCTGTACCCTTGATTGGTTGTTTTTTCTGTTTTTATACAATAATTTGATTATTATTGAAATTTTTATTGCGATCCCTTTGGGGACTGACCCCGTGATTTGCGTATCACTGCCCTATGTTTGAATAGAAGTTACATCTGTTTAGATCAATACTTTTGCAAATACTAGGTTAATATCTAAACGTGTAAAATGATTAATGATACTATATTAGTACTATTAGCTATTTAAAAATTTTAATTTAAAATATATATATTCTAAAAACCGTATTTTCAACAAATACGTTCTTTCCAAATTAAAAATGTAGCGATCGACAATAACTAATCTGTTTCCCCTAGCGGCTAACATTTGCAGTTAACCTATTTGAACCTAACACGGTGGAGCTAATTACGAGTGAGGTGAAATGAAAGTATAATTTCGTCGCAAATGAGTGAAATTGCTTGCTACTAAAACGATTTATTTCTTAATCCTTTTTTTCGCTTTATTTGTGTCTTTTTTTCCGGATGCTGCTGCTATCGCCATTAATTTCGTTAATTTTTCTCCTTTCTTTAATTTTTGACTGCTCTGTGTGCACTAAGATCTATTTCATACCCATTGCATTGTGAGTTCGAACAGGCTTACAATGGGATAGTGAGGGATTGTACCCGACGGCCCATGCAAACATTCCTGGAGTTTTTCGGCTGCTTGGGACCCCAGAGAGATAAGCTAGAGCCTTAATCACCTCTTAGTTTATTGACATTCTCACCTACCCGAATAGTAACGTCATGTACTGCAGAGTGGAAATGCATGGCATACAATTAGATATCTTATGCAAAGCCATATAACTTGAATATCATTACAAATTTTTCACTGCAACAGTAACTTTTCAGACACCCTGTAGTCACTTACCAGTTATGATTTCACTAATCTACCTTTTGATAATTTTGATTATATAAATGCAATAAAATTACTAAATTTTCTTGAAATTCTTCTAAATGCAAATTAAAAAGAAAAAAATTATTAAATGCAAATACAGTACATTTGAAAGTGGCAAAAAGTTCTAGGGCAGTGATACTTGTGCCTAGATCTTGGGAATAGCTTAGCAATTTGATTGGTCTACAGTCGACCCCCCTATAAGATAGAGATACGTTCCATTCTCTAGGAATCCGCTTTCTTACGAATCCTTCCAATCACAACCCGACACGTATCAAGTTTACGGACTACGGCTGTTTGAAAGATTTTCTTCCATAAAATTAATCGATTCTAGACTAATCCGACTCAACATTTCCAAAATACGTATATATTTTTTGGGAATAATCCGTATAAACTACGCTATAAACAAAAAATTGTAGGATTACTTACCGAGTGT